GACCGCCTCGAAGTGAACGCGACAGGGACCTCCTGGACTTTGATTCAGTTGATGGAGCCCGACCGCCTCTAAGTGAGCGCGACAGGGACCTCCTGAACCTTGATCCAGTTGATGGAGCCCAGCCGCCTTTCGTTTCCCCTTCGCCCATTGATGCCAACTTTCTCAAATCAGATGAGGTTAGTAACATCAAGTCCGAGCCAGGCATCGAGCTGAGGCCGAGGATAAAGCCAGACCTGAACATCAAAGAAGAGCCAATGGACTAGACGTTCCACTGACGTAGCCTGGCGGCAAGGGCGGTTCCTTCAAGGGATCTTTGGAGCTTCAGCGTGGTTCTGCCTTGAGCCCTGATAAAAGACCAGCTTGCGCCGCAAGGACGTTGAGGAGAGAGCTCAACCAATTTTTCCAGACGTCTCTAAGTCGGCCCAGGATGAGCAATTCGTCTCTGACCGCCTCACTCACTGGCAGCATTCTTGTGCCAGCGTGTTGAGCAGCTAGGGCAGAGGCGAAATCAAAGGCTCATGGGTCAGTAGCCCAACACAAAGGCACTGATCTATTGCAAGGTCTCGGGATAGAGACCGACCCCCAGGGCTTTGGATTAAGACTGGCGGTTTTTCGATCATAGTCAAGTCTCGGATGAGATTGACGCATGAAGGCTCGGGATAGAGATTCATGACCACGTTAGGGTGTCCGGAACTCGCAATCATCATGAGTGCTGACGGTCTGGGCCCCGAGAGTTTTTTTCCTCTTTAGACACTCCATGAATCTAAATCTTTTCTCTCCAAATACCATGTCCAATTGGTTGTGACCACGTGATTCTAAAATTCGAACTCTTTGTGACAAATATGCTTCAATTCTCACTCCTCTTTTTCAACAATCTAAATCTGCACAGGCTTCCAAACCAACAACAGTGACAGTTAACTTACCATTCTTTGAGGCAGCCCATCATGATTATACTTAAGTAATCAGTAATGACGCAAATGCAAAAGTTCTGGGCTGCAGCACGAGAACCGTTTTCAATCTGCTCAGTGTGAGTTTGGTTTTACCTAGATCCATGCTAAAAAAAAGAAAATGAAATGCAAGCTGAGTACGTACATGATACTCTGTTGCGGTACCTGTCGTCAATATAAAAAAAACTAGGAGCCGGGCTGAAAAGCTCCGCCTCAACAGCTCGAGTTCGGAAAGTTACATTGGCTCGGATCAGAACCATCCCGGAAACTCGTCGGGCGAGCCGTGAAAGCTCTAGTGCTTGGCTATGGGAATGTAAATTTCAGCCCACGGGCCTCAGCCCCAGCACTATAACAAGCCGACCTCAATCCTATTCAAACCATCCGCAATCCGAGAGTCCTCTCGCGTAAACTCTATCAAATGATGCCCAAATGCGCAGACACGTGCCGGGAGCTAGCACTGGCGCGGCACTCCACAGTAGATCGGCAACAAGCAATGATCGACATGATCCCTGTCTCCCCGGATGCTTGATGGAGCCAATGGCGATCAAGATGCCCGGCAAGCGGCAGTGTTTGGATGAACATCCTGGTACTGTCATTTGCTATATAAAGCAGCTCTCTGCGACTTTGCTTGTTGCCAATACGACCCCGAAGCATACTCCTTTTTTTTTTCTCTCTCTCTCAGTCACGATGCTCCTTGTTCCTCTGCTCCTCCTGGCAAGCACGGCGTTGGCCGCCACGCCGACCGTGTACTTTATTCGCCATGGCGAGAAGCCAGCCGATGACGATGAGACGGGTTTGAGTACACAGGGCCAACAACGCGCACAATGCTTGCGGAGCGTCTTTGGCGCTACCTCGGCGTACAATATTGGACATATCATGGCTCAAACGCCGCTCGCAAGTGAGTGATCGAGTTCTCCGAGCGAAATGTCTTTGCTAAGTTGACATCCGCAGATGGCAAGCGTCAGAGACCATACGATACTGTTCTGCCACTTGCTACAGACTTGGGTTTGACGGTAGATACCACCTGTGATCGCGACGATGAGGACTGCGTTGCCAACGTAGTCAAAAACTACAGCGGAAGTGGCAACATTTTGATCTGGTAAGCGAAGATGCTTCAATTCAGGAATAGAAAACTCACATTTCTTTAGCTGGGAACACAAACAACTAAATAACCTTGCCGAGGCTCTTGGTGCCGACAATGTCGATGGTTATCCCGACGACTCTTACAACTTGATCTGGACGGACCCATATAACTGGACAGAGATCACGGATGTCACATCGGAAAATTGCGCGGGACTGGACAACTAAATACATGAATACAAGTCCAGGCAGGGCCTAGCTGACAAATATGGCTTTTCAGCTGTCACAAATCCCATATCTGTATCACTTCGCTTGAAACAAGCACGCATATAAGAACGGAGTCAATGGTTTGATTGAGTGCGGGATTGTGTACATGGTCGCAATAACCGAATTGCTCGGCCTCTAGTCCTTTAGTTCACCCAATGCTTTCACAATACATCATATCAAAAAGACGAAAAAGCTCGGCGAGAAATAGAGTAAGTTTGGGGCTTATTAAGGGACTATCTTAGTCTTTACCAATGACAAAGAGAGATGGACGCTCTCAATGCCAACGAGCTCGTAAGGGGCGGGAGCTGACATCGCCACCCGGCGTATGTCGCTGAAAAGTTGAAAGTGCTTGTTCAACTTTCAAGGCCGTTTTACATGATCTTCCTTGATTCATGTTGGTGTATTATGCATCATCTTCCTTGATTCATGCTGGTGTGTTGTAAGGGTGAACCTGCCATCCAATTTCACAGGTTATTTCTACATGGCCAATCTTTGATCCGTGTCCAACTTTGCCGAGCGGTTGAACCTATCTGGTCTCAGCTAGAGCCTCCGGCTCCGCTTCTCCTTTGGTCCCTGACTCTTCATCGGCAGACGGTGCTTTGTCATTGCCTTCAACAAAATAGGCAACCGTGGGAGAACTGGTCTCGCCACGTCATCTTCTTTGTGGTCGTATTCATTTCCTCAGTTCTTTGATCGCCACCGGTGCTTTGGTGGGTCGAGTCGCAGCATCATTTCTATAACCGCAACCAGTACTTTGGAGGGTCGACTCGCAGATCATTTCTATGATCCCAGAGGGTGCTTTGGCGATCTTCGCCGGCTCAGTGCTTTGAGCGTCATCGGCTTGGCTTGTATTGGCTGAAAGACTTTCTGGAGCACCGTGTGACTAGTCCCAGTAAGGACTGTCATTCGAGACGGCAGGTGGAGGCGCGGGAGCAGATTGACTGTCGAAGCGTGAGAGAGTCTGTTCAGTATTCTTGCTGGCGTTGACCCGTTGCAACACATCCTCGACCTTGAGATTGTGTATAAACGAGGCCAAGTCTGGCACCTTGTTTGATTCTTGTATGGTGCGGAAATAGCTTGTGAAATACTCGCGGGCTCGATACAAGTTTTCGTACGCTAGGACCTTTCTTGCGACCTGATTCAGCTTGATGTCCTGACTATCTTCATTTATGGAGATGACAATTGCGTGAGGCCGCCATTCCGTGATTATTCTGACACCTAGCAGCAGTTGCAGTTGTCGAATGTATGGGGCAATATGTTTCGAGTATATCAAAGTTCTTGGCAGGAGGTATCTGAAAGACCTGACCGAGCCAAAGTCGGACTCGTAGCCTTTGATGAAGTCGGGTGAGGATTGGGATGTCATCCCTAGGAGATCTTTGGTGATGGCCTCCTCGACTTTGACTGCCCTGGTGGCGTTGGACAGAAAGGGCTCGGACGCTGCCTGACTGCGTGGTTGGAAAGAGCTTTGTGCTGTCGAACTCCCACCAGCGTGTGTTTGGGGCTGGGAGGACCGTTGAGCTGTTGAACTCCCACCTGGTGCTTGAGGCTGGGAGGGGCGTTGAGCTGTCGAACTCCTACCTGGTGCTTGAGGTTGGGAGGGGCGCTGGGATGAAGGTTGAGCCAACCAGTTCTTAGGTGGCTCGATCCGCTGTTTTCCACCTGTCCACACAATCCAGAAGATTTGATCCATCCTCAGAGTTGTGTAGCAGTTGTCCCACAGCGTCTTCAGCGCGGGAAAGTCGAAGCGATCTTCATCATTGATCGGCTCGAAACTTTCTGGGCGTTCGACATCTGGCAGTAGCTCATTGAACACCTCCATCGATGTGTAGCACAGTATTTGTGATACCATCTATTGCGATCTAGTTAGCCAAGGCAAAGATTGACAAAAGATTCAAAGTACTCACCCATCGGAGGCCGACGTTGAAGTTGCCTTCACGTTGGACATGGGCAATAAAAGCGTCGGTACCTTCTGTGATGGCCGCGGACAATTCCACTTCGACACGCAGTTGTTTGGCTTTATGTTTAAGGCGTAAATAGCGATTTTTCTGTGATTCTGGATCCATCTTGACGAAATCTTCGATTTGATGGAAGGTGAAGAGGAAGGAAAAGAGGGAAAGGTTTGACAATTTGCGAGATTGGACCTTTAGTGTGTTGGCAACTCCTGCCAAAAGGTTCTGCGGCCAATCAGAAGCTACGACCCACCGTTTGTCAACGGGTGGAATTTGTAACACTTGGGGTTTCTGTTTCTTTCTTCTTTATTTCTATTTCTTATCTGACAGTTTGCCAGTGCGAGCGAAGATGGGCCCAGTCCGGACTGCATCCTGTAGTAGTTTCCAAGGGCGTGGAGTGTGCTTTGGAAGATGGAACAAGTTAAAGAATAAGCAGTGGAATATAATCATTAATAAATAATGTCCACTTGGGGTCATAAGGGGGGCACGTACGTCTTGGGTCCATACTAGCCAAGTCGAGGAGCGTCTCTTGGTCGCTCCGGAGGGTGGACAATGGCCCCGTGGTAGCCCATTGAGGACACCCCTCTGCAGGCGGCCACGGCAGTATTCTGGCGCATGTGCCTGGCCACACTGCGCGTGGAAGATTTTGCTGCGATTGTGTGGCACAGGCACAATCGCTTTTCGATCCTCAAGGTCTTGGGGACAAGGAACAGAGGCAAAGGCGTCGTGTAATGTATGGCGCCTGATAATTTGGCTGGTATCTAGTGAGCCGGCTTGACGATTGTCAATATTGAACATGGGCAACGTTTGCAGAAATGGAAACTCAAAGGCTGCGGCCCAGAGGTAGCCTGCAATGTAACGGGATACGTCTGTCCCTAGCAAGTTTGAGGGAACACCATGATGAGGGGGTTGTCCATGATGCTGCTGTCTGAAGTATTCTGGATTGAGAGGTCCTTGAACCAGCTGAGGCTCTGCTTATATACTGCTAATCTCCAAGCATGACACATGCATTAGTCAAGAATTCATGAGGGAGAGATGACACTTCCGTGTTTATCCATGAGTCAATGCGGTAGAAGTTGCACAAGCAACGAGATAGCAAGGGTGTTTCTCAGCTCAAAGTTCGTGTACAATGTTTGTATGCGCTTTGCTCTTGGATGAAGTCTGGCTTCTAAGTGATGTTTTGTCACAAATCAGCTACGACGAATGCGACGTGGAATATCGTCATCGCTTGAACCATTGCTATTTGAACAGCCAACTGTGACGTGGTTCAATGAAAACACTGCGATCAGTCAATATTAAATGACTCAGTGTCATGATGATGCACTGACGTGGTCAGGACCTACCGCAGATCACCCGCTCGGGTATATATTTCGCTCTTCAGCACCTCTCTTTTGCAAGTCAGTCAGATCAACTCAGACATCTTTCTATGCTTCTCTGATCACATCTCCCCCTTCACGCGTTGGCTCAGGTGAGACATGATTAGAATCACCATGTGAGCTGTGATGATGTATTATTGTTTGTCATGACATGACAAGACTGAGGCAAAGGCCAGTTGTCTGTATAGCCCACTTCCCCCCCCCTTTTTCCATGCATGAGAAGATTCTGTATGCAACCACACGAACGGCACAAAACCATCAGTGGGACATCATCAGTAAGCAGTACGACGACGACGTTCTGTAGCGGAAACAGAGGTTATGGGGCCTTCCCAAGTCACATCGGAGCAACCTCGTTACTATCCACCAGACGAAAGGCAGTAGGATGCTTTCCACCACTGCGCCTGGGGAAAAGGGGCAGTAACTCCAAAGCACCTTGGGGGACAGCAGCGTGTCCGTCTTGAGGTCGTTTGAGGACAAGAATTTCGTCTCTGACCGCCTCACTAGCTGATAGAATTTGTGCCACTGTGTTGATCCGCAGGGGCAAAGGCGAACGCAAAGAGTCGTCAAACGTCCTTGCCAGCCTTGACAATCTCATCCTTCGTCATGTTCAATGTGAGGATAGGTTCATTGAGATTCACTGTCAAGGAGCCCGGAAAAACAGCAGGATGAGCAAGTACCAAGCACAGCACGCTCTCAACACTTGATAAAACAAATGCAGCACATGGTACGTTTTGTGGGGTCAGCACACAGTCATACCCTTATTGACTCGAACCTTCTGCTCAGGTTACTCCTGAGACCAACCGCAGGACGCGGATACGACAAATAACAAGCCAGCAGTAACTGGTCATCTAAAGGGAAAGGCTCGAAAGGACGCCAGAAGATACAGGAAGTCCAATGCACCCTTGGTAATGTCGTGGGATGGAAGATGGACACGATACTCCAGTGTCACCGCCGCTTCACTTGCCATCCAACCCATCTTGCCCCGACCCTCGTCGATAACAAGCTCGTCGACATTCGAAAGCGGGCCTGCAGTAATGCGGCCAGGGATCATTTTGTTCTGCTTCTCGACAGGCGAACAGAAAGCCCAACAAAATTCCCGTTCCCAAAGTCCATAATGGACAGGTACATCGAGTGCCCGTTCTGTTGGCGGGCGGAGTACCGAGGGCCCTGGATAGAGCAAGAGATTGGTTCTGGATTGGTCAATTCCGACCAGAACCCGTTTGCCAGTCCAGAGTGGGTACAGGAACGTGTCCCAAGCGCAAGCGCATTGATGACGTCTGGAAGCGCCAGTACACAAGACCTCTGGAAGAGGCTGGGGATAGTGACACCCTCTGGAAGAGGTAATGTCTACTTACAGCGTATGCACATGACAACCGCACGTGACGAGGCTTCACAAAAGTTTCATGTGTAGGCCATCTCTTTACCATTAATAAAATCCATGGTCCTCTCCAAATAAACGTTCAAGTTGATTTGTGACATGATAAAGTAAAAGGTGCGTCGTCAAGCGTGTCGTAGCAAAGAGACTGCAGACTCATCCCTCGTAGTTTTGAAACTTATAGGAATAAAAGCCGAGAAGAATTTCTCAAGCATGTATATTATCTATTACATTTAGGTATTATCTACTCTACGGGCGCGTAGCCAGCAGGAGGGTTTAGGCCATCGGGAATCTCGAGGCCAAAGTCATAGTAGACGGGAGCAGGGTTACCATACCAAGCCTCCTTGATGCTGGGGAGGACGGTACGGTTGTGAGGCAGGCCGCAGTCACCCAGCTGAGGTCCGGGGTACCGGCTGTTTCCACCATTGGTGTTGAACTGACCGGCGTAGGAGTAGTTGAAGTAGCGGTCCTCGAGAGCAACCTCGCCGGTCCACTCGCGAATGGTGTCGCCCGTCTTGTCGGCAACGAGGCTAAAGACGTTGGCGCCGACGTCGAAGCGGCCCAGGGTGTGCAGGTCCCAGTTGGCCGAGACGGTGGCAATCTCGCTGTAGTGGTTGTAGTAGTTGTCGTCGGTGGTGCCGACCAGGTCCGAGGGCACGGCGTCACCGAGGAGAATGCCCAGGATGCGGTTCTGAATGCTGTAGCTCTCATTCTCATCAAAGGTGACCAGGACGAGGGTGTTTTGCATGAAGCGCTCATCGTCGAGAAGGGGCTCGAGAAAGCTGCGGGTCCAGGTACCGGCAGTGGTCACATCGGTATCGTGGCCGTCGCTCGTCATGTTGGGGGTGATGAACATCCACTGGGGGAGGGTCTCGTTTTCAAGGTCCTCGTAAAAGAGGGTCAAGTTCTTGATCAGAGACAGACGATCCGTCTTGCCAGCATTGGCATCGTAAATAACGGCAGGATTGTGCTTGCGGACATAGTCATTGGCTCCCGTCTCTTGGTTGACATATGCCATTCCCTCGAAGCCCGTGTAGGGCATGTCCTCTTGATATTCGGCCCATGTGATGCCCTTGTCCTCGAGTAGGTCAATGACGGTGGAAACGTTGGCATCGATTTGGTTGAAATTGTCGTTTTGCATGCCAAAGTAATCACCACCAATGGCAGCGACATAGTTGGGCTCACTGGGATGGGTGACGGCATGGTAACCAGACAGGGTGATGCCTTTTGATGCCAGCCATGCTAGGTTTTCTGTATAGAGTAGTATTAGTCAATGTACAGAGTTGGTATTAGTCGATATAAAAAGATGACTTGCCGTCACCCGCCGCCATGTCATAGTCGGTATTTTCCAACCATATCACGACAAAGCGATCAAAGGCAGCACCCTTGACATTGCTGGTAGGGCTGGATGTCTTGGCAGTTGCTCTGGCCGCGGCGACATCGGCAGTAGCAGTTGCAGTGTACAGATTCTCAGCCTGCGCCGCAACACTGGCGGCCAGGAGGGGAAGAGATAGCAGAGTCGTATACATGTTGACTGCAAGTCAAAAGTTTGATGAAACGCCTACACGCGAGCACTCGAAAACATTCAGCCAGGCACGCGGTCAGACAAGTTTAAATGAAGAAGAAAAAGGTTGGTTCGGTTTCGATATCCGGCGTATAACGCCGAGAAGGAAGCAGCCGAACTTTCATGGTATAGATCTAGTAGCTGCATCTTCCAGGGTCTTGAGAAAAAGTGCACCAACGGCTTGGTTCAAAGAGGAAAAGAGGAACTTGTGTGTGGGGAGGTCGCTGCAATGGCGATTTGACCAATCAACAGTTCGGAATAGAGGCCTCGTGGGTGGTCAGCCAACCAATGAAATGCCTTTTAATAGGCGACCATGTTGTGTATTCTTGGTGTATGCCTGGATGATCAATGTTTAGCTGCAAAACAAGCTTTGAAAGGAGATGAAGCGTCTTGTGGCAGACCAGGCAGCATCTTGGCATCACGGGTCAAAGGCTTGTTTGACGATTAGTATATATCAAAGGTTTGTTTGAGACGGTAAGTTTTATTGTTGATATTTTCTGCCGTCCAAAAACGCCCAGCTTGACAAGCTGCAGGTGATTTGATCCAGACCTTTCAACTGACCAGTCTTGCTCGAGGGAATGGTAAGATGGTAGCATTGCAGGTCGACTAGAGGGGAAGGTGAACGGGGGTTTAAAGGAAAGCACGTGTGTAGAATAGAGCCAAGCATTGGCAAGTGGGAGAAACGGAAGCCGATGGGGGTGGGTTGGTTGTTCCGAACAATCTCCACCTTTTGCACAGCCGAGAGTTTACACAGTCCCTGAAATGGTCGAAACCTCGGACGAATTAAGGGATCGACATTTAGAATCCAGAATCACCAAGCAGGGCGACGTGGATAGTGTTTGTTTCAAGGCCTTCATCATCGAGGACCGCCTAGTATTACGACTCGAGGATACGCGCGGCAGTCGACGGGTCTACCAGGGGAGCGCTGTAGATTTCACAATTTAGAAGGGGCTTGGCTAAAAGTACGTCGCGGCAACGGCAGCCAAGCTCATGCATAAATTCAAGCTAGGCTGCTTGTGGGGATTAAGCTGTCGTCCCTCCGCCCCATTCACCAGCCCGTAAAGGGATTCTACAGGGGATTGCACTAGGCCCAAGTCTCGGCACCTGCTGATTGTAGCAACCGTTATTGGGTGTACTCATCTTCTCCACAGGGGTTACGCGTTCTACCAAATGCACAGATGGTGATGATTCGACGTTTCCACAATGCAACGGGAGCTCTCGACGAACCGGCGTCATCTGGCTTCGTCAACACGTCTTGGTTTTAATTTGTGGATAGAGTAGTCGTGGTACTTAAAATCTTTGCTTCCTTGATCAATAGAGATGAGAATTCAACCCACGTTGCCAGTTTATATCCACCACCAACTAGAGCCTTTCATTGTTTCGTCATTCCTTCTGGCATCTAAAAGATAGCATTGATAACCACGTGCTCGACACCAGACTCGCCTTCTGGATTGTCCAAGTCGACAGTCTTTACTCAGTCAAGATGACTTTCAACATGATTCAAAACTTTGCTCAACAAGAGCCCGTCTACGAGTCCATCCCGGGCACTCCATACACGCCCGCAACCTCTTTGGGATACAGCAGCGATGGCGATGAAAAGGGATACTACCGCAAAGGCCATGCTCAGGGCAACGCCATTCAGTTGCCCACGCTTTCGCGATTCTTGGCCGACTTCACCCTGGGTTTTGCAGATGGCTTGACGGTGCCATTTGCTCTGACTGCAGGTCTTTCTTCCTTGGGTCAAACCAACACGGTCATTCTGGCGGGAATGGCAGAAATTGCTGCAGGCAGCATCAGCATGGGAATTGGAGGTTATCTATCGGCCCGCGGCGATATTGCCGCGGCGGCAGCCTCGAAAAAGGACACACAAAACAAGCTCGGCGACCACGCACATTTCGATCAAGAAAAGGCGGCCGAGAGAAGAACGACTACTATTCTAGAGGAGCATCTCGGTCCCCTGCGTCTGCCGCAACACCTGTACGATGCCGTGAGGGCTCACGTCAATGCGCAGCCCGGCGTCGCTGCTGCTATTCTCGAACAGCGACAGAGCCTGCAGGATGCCAATGATTCCGATGGCGACGACGAACTCTGCTCTCCAGTCTGGAATGGTCTATCCGTGGCCATGGGTTATCTCCTCGGCGGTCTTTTGCCACTCTTTCCCTACTTTTTCGTGGCCGAAGTTTGCGCTGGCCTCAAGTGGAGTTTTGGCGTCTGCGTCTTGGCCTTGTTCATCTTTGGCTTTACCAAACACTACCTCTTGCAGGAAGAGGTTGAAGACAAGCACTGGAGTCGTGCCTGGGACTACCAAGTCCGAAGATTGAACAGAATCAAGGAGAGTGTGTGGGAAGGTTTGCAAATGGTGGTACTTGGAAGCATTGCTGCTTTTGCTGCTCTTTTATGTGTCAAGGCTTCTGAATCAATCGTCTCGTGATGATGCCACGAGCAATTACTTTTGCCATTGTCTGCAAGATGTAAATCCGCCACGGACCAGCTCTTGAGCATAAATGTCGACAATGGCCCCGATGCAACTGCGCACAACTCAATGCTGCAATGGCGGAGGCGGAGGCGGAACTCCTCGTCCCATCCCCATGGGCATTCCCATGGGCATTGGCATTCCACGGCCCATTCCCGGCGGTCCACCTCTACCCATGGGAAACGGACCCGGAGGCGCGCCCGGCCACGGAGCCCCAGGCGGCATTGGAGGTGGCCCACCTGTCATTGGCCTCGGCATGTGTTGTCCATCGACCCATTCCGTTTCCTCCATTTCGCTCCCAGAATCAGACTGTCCACTGGAGCCACTGCTCGACGGAGATCCAGACGTGGCCCCAGAAGTTGTACTTGTGCGTGGGGATTTTGGAAATCGGACTCGGCCACAACAAGCCCATGCTAGTAAAAGGAGCACGATTGCTCCGACGACACCACCAATGACGCCACCGAGGGTGGATTGGCTTATACCATTGTTTGTAGGGGGCGCGACAGTCCCTTTTGCTGGCCCGTTGGTTTCTCTACCCGAGCCAAGTGTAACTGTGAATAGCTGTGTGGTGGAAACCTTGCTCACAGTTTGGATTATGGTCTGGTCAGAGTCTCGAGCCGCTTCAAGCACTGGAGATGTCGAGAGAATCGCCATGACGTGCCGATACAATCAAATTCAAGAGTCAATATCCCAATACTGGGAATTGGGATTAAATATCCAAGAAATGAATAAAATTAGAAATGACCTCAAGCCTGTCTCTCTTGTACTTTTTCCCATGCTGACGAATCTCATTCCATTCTGTGCAACTTGTTCCTTCACATTTGCATCGAGCAGGGAACCGAGACAAGCCACCTAGACTGTGATTGAATAGGAGGGATGTTTTAACCGACCTAGACAGGGTGTAATATCGTCACCTTGTTACAATACCAACGCCGGGCGAAAACGTGCGTTATGCAAGGCTCAGATTAAATCACCTCGCATATCTACGTTTCATGCCCTCGGCAATTCACGGCCTTGTGAATATCGACTTGACGTCCAATCCAAACCCAGAATCGGAACCAGACCGCTCTTGCTAGTGACAAGTGTGACATTCCCAGCCAATATAAAGATGCGATCACCAAACTCCAACAGGCCAGACCTTGCCTTGTATATCTGCATCACACAAAAAAAGGTGAACCAAGACGTATCATTTAGAATCTCTGCTTGTCCTCCCGGGGATGCGGGGTAAACACATCCTAATGAAGGATTCCAAGTCGTGGTGTTTGTACGCCAATGCAAGGCTCCGTGAATGGTCCAAGTCGAGGAAAAAGAAAACATACAATAGCGCCCACCTCCAACCCCCCGCGCTGGCGGTTGGGTCGTGGTTTTTGTGATACCCGGCGTCTTACATGCATGAGAGGCTCGGGTTCCCGCATATTGAAATGGTTGGCAAGTCTTGACAAGTTGAAATTGTACCGAAACCTGTCTCGGTATTGGCAGAGGAATGTTTCTAGACGTTTGCAAACATGGCAAGCCGTTTGATTTCATTACAGCGGATTTTACTTTTGAATATAGGATGAAAGAGTAATTACTACGACAGGCATACCAAGATCCTCCAAGATTCATGTAGATATCCGAGAGATCGGAGGTGAATCATTGGCCAGGCTCGATGCAACCATTACACGAGATATGAGTTGTCCGTTTGAGGAATGACGAAAAACTCTCCTGGATAACTCGGAATTCTTGTCAGATTGCACTCGCACTGACGCAAGTGATCGTCCCGACCATCATGTCTAGAAAGGCAGGACAAGATTTATGCTAATTACTTGGCAGGAGGTAGTAATTGAAGATACGGGATGAAGGGTTACAGAGGCAGGGCATGCCACTCGGACTTGTCCAAGTAATATCAAGATGATATCACTCGGTCAATAAAGAGTCTGGAAGTATACGGCGAGTGACGGGGCATCTGGCAAAGTATCACCCGAGTCCCGGTATTGCAGCATCGCATCTCCAGCGCGACCTAGATTACCCAGGACCATGTCAACCAGCCCATCTCGTCTGGTTCGACAATGAGATATCATCCATGCCCTCGATCAAGGCATCGCCGGCCATGGGTAATGTTTATATCAGTGTTGATAAACAACTCTGTAGCATGGCCTTTCCATATTACTCTGAGCATTGCCACGATTCGACAGCTGAACAATCAGCCCAAGACTCTTGCATGATGGAATTGGATAGAAACAAAATACGAGATTTTCTGCACAGAGCCTCATATTCATCAACATTTACTCTTGGCACATGGATCAACAATAGTCGGCGTAAGCCGGTGGACTCGCCAAGCTATACAGCCCCAATCTTCTTATTTGGAAGCATTCTTGAAAGTGTCGTTGATGCATAATAATCGCGATTTCACCCGAACTTTTCCGTGTGGCTCCATTTTGATTTCAAAGCCCTTTATAAAAGCCAAGACTTGTACGGTAGGCCAAGTCATGACAACACACTTTGCTTGCGACAGCGGACGCATCTGAGCGGATAATTCATGTGAATATATGCATTCCCGTGGAGATTTGAAAGAATTTGAAGCGGAAAAAGTTGGAATTGCAACGTTGTTATCAAAGATTCTGCAAGAAAGTTGGTTGCATCGGCCGTGAATATCACCGAGAACGACTCAAGCAGCCAAGCCACTGATGCCGTAGCGGAAGGAGACGTGCATGGCGGAAGCGCCGTCACAAACCATATCGGCATATGGCTCGAGATCTATCATCCGAGTCGGGAATAATCGTTGAAATGGTAGAGTTTACCCCTGAGGAGTATTCTCTGATATAGAACAAGCCACACGGCTGCAGCTGCACGTCATGTATTTGATATCTCTGCATATTCCAAGACGGTCTTGCAGCCAAATCAGTCATGCAATCCGACTTGCCACAATGGACTTTTACATGGTTAAACGATGAGAATCCAGACCTGGAATCGGTACGGAGCCGACTTGCAAGGTTCATAACCACGATAGACGTTGAACGGCCCGGAGCGAATGTCACGCTGAAAAAAGGTAAATCTATCAATTGTGGGCCAGATCAGTGAGGATGCCGTATCCGTTTTGAGTTGCAGACGTGATCCATCGACTGCCCAAGATGATATCTGTGGCTACCATTTTCGAGGTTGACTGCGAGTGGAGAGAGTGCGCATTGTCTGCATCTTGTTGTTTATGAGATCTGGACTGATGAATCCACCTTGATCGATGCCCGGCCGTCGTTTTGTATCGTGAGCCCGAGCTTGGATGCACTGATAGAAGTGAGAAGAAAAAAGGCGTCTCGTAGCAAGTATATGAAACAACCAAGCCAGTATCCGCCCGGGCAAACGAAGCAAGAGTTGCCTCAAATCGGCGTTTCTCTACGGTGTTATCGGCAAAGATCGGGGGTAGAGTATTTTTCCTCAAACCCATCACACCCGAACTTTCCATAGGTTCGAGCATTGAAACCAACGGGGCTGCTAAAAAGTGCTGTAGCGTAGGGGTACCTTTGCTGTTTGGCCCACTATAAACCCACCAACATTTGACAGCCAAGACGCGCCCAAGACCTGCCAAGAGCGGCGCCGAGGGAGCTGGTGGAAAGCATTTGGGAGCCTCACAGCGCATCGTTTTGCCTCTTGTCAGTGGCTTTGGCGCTGGATTGCGTCGCCTCTCAGGGCCAGCAGCAACCCGACCAGTTCCGCGACAGGACTCGAAAGACCCACTGATCTGAGAATGAGCTACGTCCATTTCCAACACGACAAGAGTGTCGCATCCAGTATTTGACATTTCTTCCATTGCCATTGCAGACGCTGGCGGGCGCCAAAAGCACAAGGGTCATGCTAGCCAGGCATCAATCAACCCGTTTGCCAAGCACACAGCCATGGTCGCGCCAGTCCCTCCGATTGGGCGTCTTGCCCTGAGAGATCTACCACTCACGCCTCAACTGCCGGAGTGCGTATGTCTCTTGCTATTTTAATACCACCTACACAATTCATACATGTTTCCAACCCGTGGGGGCTCAAGTAAAACCTCGAACAAGAAATGGTTACATGAGTTTTCAGAGGAAAGCTCTGGTTCTTCTTCTTCTTCTCCAGACTCCGCCTCCGCATTTTCTGCCCGCAGACTAGAACCAGTACTTTTCTGTGGCGCTCGAGCCGTCGACGTTTATTCTCCAGGGAACCAACTGTAATTGAGGTGCCAAATGATATAATAATCAGCAGCAATTTCACAAGGTACGGTAGGTGGTAGTATTAGACGCCCAATGACCTATGCTAGTGGGTCAGACAAGATTCTGTCCGTAACCCGACCCCCGTGCCAAGCTGATCCGCGGCCATAGAATCTAGCCTTGGTCGACTTCCAAAATGGTACTCATGAAGATCGTCATGAGAAGCTCGGGCTACCTGCTGCCACTAGACGACGCCCAGCCGTCTCTTGGCTTATCTCCGCCCTCGAGTTTGCGTGCCACTATGCCCAATGCAAAGTTCTTGGCCACAGACGCTTCTGATTCTGTGATGTTTCTCATTTCTTGGCAGTATACCTATCAGTCTGGGCAGAGTCCACTTGATAAAGGAGACCGACTCGCCCCAAAGGACGTGGCAGTGAAGAGGATCTTCAACAACAATAGAGACCATTGCTTGGATCTCGAGGGCAGATTTATTATTTCAGAGTCTGGCACTCTCTTTTCTTCTTTTCCATTTGGACCCTATTCATCAATAATTCCTTCACATCTTGCTCCTTGCTGAACAAGTTGCATTCTATACACTCACTCATATAATATAATTCCAGTCGAGTCAGAACAACACAAGGCTATTGCCAGGTGCAATGGAAAAGAGCACGGTACCCAGACATTATCACACATCCCAACCCTCCAGTTCTAGTTCTGGACCCGACGCCTATACTGCCGGACCATCATACGGCTTTGAAATGGCTTCATTACAAACATACGGAAACCGTCACAATGAAAAGAGACCCGCAAGTCCAGAACCCGAAACACAACTCAACTCGGCAGCAACTTCGATCCGTGCTGGCAAAGAGAGCCACGATGTCGAGAGTGGTAGTGGAGGTCATGGTCACGTCGACATCAACGATCCCAACCGACCTCGATACGGATTCAAGGAGAGACTTCATCACTTTACCTGGGCCTGGTATACATTTCCCATGAGCACGGGCGGTTTATCTCTTCTCATCTTTGCTCAACCACATCAGTTTCCTGGACTCCGGCAAATCGGTCTCTTTGTTTATATCCTCAACATTCTCATCTTTACCTGCATCACTACTCTCATGATTGCTCGATTCTTTCTACACCGCGGCGACTTTACCAGATCCCTCTCTCACCCTCGCGAGGGCTTCTTTTTTCCAACATTTTTCCTCTCGGTCGCTACTCTCATAACCAGTACTCAACGATACGCCATACCCGACAATGATGTGGCCCTCACCTGGGCCATCAAGACGGTCTTTTGGGGTTATGTCATAGTCACGCTCATTCTGGCCATTGGACAGTACAGTTTCGTCTTTGCCTCGCACAGCTTTGGCCTGCAGACCATGATGCCGACCTGGATCTTGCCCATCTTTCCCATTATGCTGTCGGGTACCATAGCCTCGGTCATTGCTTCGACTCAACCCGACATTGATGCCGTGCCCATTGTAGTTGGTGGTCTCACCTGCCAGGGCCTGGGTATCTCGGTTTCCTTCATGATGTATGCTCACATGGTTGGTCGACTAATGCAAGCTGGTAAGTTTCTTTCCTCGTTGCTTTAATAATCTCTAACATTTTCAGGTCTACCCAACCGCGAGCATCGTCCTGGTTTGTTCATGTGTGTCGGACCTCCATCTTTTACAGGTATGTCGTGACTTTCCATCCTCGAGTAACCTTTCTAACAAAATCAGCTCTCGCATTCATTGGCATGGCAAACGGCCTTCCCAACAAATTCGACCCCAACGGAGATGGCATGATTGACGCCGAAATCATTCGCATCTTTGCCTCGATTGGCGCCATCTTCCTCTGGGCCCTGGCTCTGTGGTGGTTCTTTGTCGCCGTCATCGCCGTCATTGCCTCTCCTCCAAAGTACTTTCACCTCGGCTGGTGGGCCATGGTGTTCCCCAACACGGGCTTTATCCTGGCCACCATTTCCATTGGCAACGAGCTGCAAAACGAGGTCGTCCTCTACTTTGCCAACGGCATGTCGATACTGCTGCTCTGCACCTACTTTTTTGTCCTGTACAATCTCGTACGGGCTGTTTGGATTCAGGACATCATGTACCCGGGACGGGACGAGGATGTCGAGGATCATTAAAGCGTTGCATGTTTCTTTTGATTTACTGTTGGGTCTACTAGAACAAGACCCTGCCACATTGGACAGACTTTTGTTTATTTCCTTGATTAGCATCTATACATGGCGTGGGGCGTTAAAAGGTGCTCAACCTCTACATGAGCATTGGTCACGGGCCCTTTTTGGCTCGAAAAAAGATACCCTGCCCCCATAGAATGGTTCTAACGGCTTGCATATTAGAAATGGGAGGAAAAGGGATAAATCAGGGGCAGGATACTATTCCAGAATATACAAGTTCAAAGCTCACAAGTTTTTATGTGATGGCTCAATGAATCATGCCTGGTTGAATCCCTTGTAAATCAGTCTCGATGCGACAGTACTTGAAGTAATGATGAAAACATGATTCTGTAAATCAAGGCTGCCCTTTCATGTGACTGATGGATGTAAGGCAGTCCGCAAAGCCACACATTAGCCACATTTACTTGACCATGTCTGCATTTCATAAACCCTGCTTGAAACAAGGACAGAGAACAATAGCATGCTGAATCGAGCTTGGCAGAACCCAGAAACTCTTGATCTCAAGACACATGGCTCGTGATGAAGAATAGAGCCCAAGTCATGAAATTACACGCGAATAATCAGGATTCCTTGCCAATTGAGAATATCTAGTGCCCGCTTCGAAATGGCACGCATTCTTTCACGTACAAGGTAATTAATGCTCAATCATATTTGAATTCAGTGAATCTTGCGAGTATAAATTCTAATCTGGGCACCTGCCACGCTTCATATTCATACCACATTTACGCCACAAGCATGCAACTCTTTAGATGAGTCTCTCAGGCAAGAGCCCCCAAAAGATTGCAAGCATAGCCCTATGAAAATGATGGAGCAGTCGTAGGGTTTCATTCACGTTATTGTAACCACACGCGAATAATCAGGTTATTTAGCCACTTGAGACTCTCAAGTGCCCCATTTGAATGGCACGCAATGTGAAGGATGCTCAACCTCACTTGAATTCAGTGAATCCGACGAGTCAAGAATACGTTTTCACAAGGGCACCCGTCACACTTCATATTCATACCAGATTTACGCGACCAGCATGCAAGTCTCTAGATGATAGGAGCAGTCCGAGTCTCTCAGACAGGATCTGCATCCCCAAAAGGTCACAAGCGTAGCCCTATGAAAATGGTGGAGCAGTCGTAGGGTTTCATTCACGTTATTACAACTATAAATGTCCTGTATTATTTGGGCTCTTGGTTTCATTGCTTTAAAATCAAATGACACCTTACCAAGTCCCATTCCGTGCATATTCCAAAAAGAGGTGCTTCTAGTCGTGGCCCGATAAGCAATGTTACTGGGGAAATGCAACGCAACCAGTGGACACTATAACATCTGCCGTGGTTATTTTTGGCGTATATCCACTTGATAGTCGAGAAACTTGTACCTTGCAATGCTATACTATCAAATGAGACTAGATTCGAGTCCGTTTAGGCGTTGTGACCTCGTAGCATTTGTGTCGCTGGCGGATGAGTTGCACGTGCACAGCATATGCTTGTTTACCAAGAATTGTTAGAAAGACATGCACTGATTGCATCCGTCATCCACAATGTCATGCATGCAAGCGAAAAGCGTCTAGAAACGGGACGGATTTTGAGTCAAAAGCGTATATCAATACAACCTCTTGCTGCAGGACCTAGAGTGTTGCACAGTCAATCTGATTACTCGTGCCCAGTCTCTGGATTGCGTGTCTGCTCTGAAAATGGCACTTTCGATACTCTGATACCACGACTTGCCACGGAAGTGAACGTGCCGTCAGAATCATGATCGATTACGGTGAAAAGTCATGACAAGCACTTGTTGCCAAGTCTGATGGACTCTTTAATACTCGCGGGATCTGTCCAAGGGGGTATCATTTTTGCAGCAATCAAGGCCCTGGACCTTTTCCCAGCCAGGTCAAGACGTAATCTTTGCAATCTCAAGCATCTGTACAACACACCATGATACACATGCTCTTGGATCGAACCACTCACTCGTTCTCAACAGTGTACGCGATCCCACTCTTTCTCATGGCCATGCACGTCGGATGGAATGGATGCGGGGTGGCGGTGGGGGTGCATGGAGATCGGCGGTGCATTGGACTTTTAACCCATGGAGACGAGAGGCATCCAGCAGTAATCAAGGGACATGTCTGTCCGTCCTGGTAGACGCTTTCGTGATAAGACGTGATGATGGAAAATGTCTGAATACTTGTATGCCAAGATTGCATACGTTGCTCAGACATGAGAAATATCGCAAGGACCACGAGTACGCAACCTTGCTGTCGCATTGCGCATGAGCCGCGCCCTTGTACTCTCCGCGCAATGACACTCTGGGGGTTCATTTTCCAATGGACGGTCAGAACGTTATGTGGGAAGAAATACAGGCATGAACGGGTAGCAGACGCGAATGCATGATGCCGATTCTTCCACAATCACGACAGACAGAAACTGACCCAACCGAGTGACTATTGGCCTATTTCCATCAGACGACCCAGTTGCAACGTGACCAAGGATCTCGCCAAAAAAAGACATGTCCAGTACCTTACAGCACGCTCCAGTGGCTACCCAAGAGGGGGGCAAATGAAGCCCTTGCAGAACCGTCGTCCAAATAGGGAAGCTCAAAAGTCGCAGGTCCAGACTTTTCCACCCGTGAGCCGCAATCGACTTGCTCCACCATTACGAGTTTAGCTTGGCAAAGTGTGACTTGGGAATATAGCCGGTATGTAATAAGGGTATCCAAGAATGACTGGTGGTTGCAAGTTCAGTGTAAACGAAATGAGCATACAGCCGTTGAGGCAGGAGAATGTGCAAGATTCATGGTTAAGCATTTGCAACGGCTAAAGGTCCACCTGTAGGGAACTGGGCGAACCGCTAAAAGTTGGCTTGTTTAAAAGTCGCTTTCGCTGGATCGACGTGCTTTCAAAGCTTAATTGACCGGTATACGGAATGGAACAATCAAAGAGGTTCATCAATTCCTTGTACACCATTACTTTCCATCCTTGCATGACTTGCTTGGGGTCTTTTGTGATATCCCTCCGACTCGTCATGGCACCTAGGGAACCGCCAAGTCTCGTTGCCCAGGCGCTGGTAAACAGACCAGGCCACTTGCGCTCGGCAGTCATTGCGTGCGAGTCAAGCTCGGGACTGAATGGTTCTTTTGACATGGCTCAGTGTCCAGGCGGTGGTTCATGCTGTGAAATATGCCCAGGCGCGATGCAAATTACCAGGAAACAGACACCCAGCGCCTCGACGGCAGTTTTGCCCTGAACAAGGAGGTCGGCCGTGAGCATACAGTCGATGAAAACATTTGATTCTTGTTTCCAGGTCCATCGTTTCTCGGCGGTGCAAATACATGAATTCCACATGCCCAAAAAAGAGCCCCATCAGGCAGGTTCTATTTTTATGCTGTAATACACACACAAGGAGCAAATAACTTGTCGTGTGACTTGTCGTGCCCCTTTTTTGTGTTGCCGGCACGCTGCCATGTTGTCTCTCGGCGTACAGAATGCAGGGCAGTGAGGGAGAGAATTGAGCATCCTAAAAGTCGGAAGGATTCATTCTCTCCATATCATGTTTATTCGTCTCCGCAATCGTCTTACTGTGTGCAGAGGCGAGAGAGGGTCCTTGTAATGCAAACCAAGGAGGCAATGCTCGTACGCCTCTCTCTCATTAACAGCGACCGCGGAAGAAATATAGCGGTCTACGTGAGCTAATGCTGTCCAACACAAGACCCGTAAAGTCTAAATTCTTGCGAGTAACCACATCAAACTACTCGCTTAGTTTATCGGTTTTCCGCATTTCATCATTCGCATCTCATCAGAAATCATGAGCAATTCCGACCATCTCCATCGAGTGCTTCCATCTCTAGCTCGTCTGGTAGGGCCCACCCCAATGGCCTTCCTGACTTGTCTAAGCGCCCACCGCCCAAGCCTCCAAGGAGCGGGACGCCACCAACGAGACGGTCTCTCCCCTCAATTGACCAACGAAAAGTGAGCACACAGGGCGACCAAGATGAGCAAGATCTCGCCTGGGAAAACCCCCCCGGTCCCTGCCAAGCAAAAGGATGCTTGACCCCGAATGTGCCTTGAGGCCCGTGGACCTTCCCGGCGAACCCTTGCGTTATGCTGTCCTATTACGTTGGCCCAACTCTTCTACGATAGTGATCATCATGCTAGGTAGCTTATCATGACCGGCATACAGAGTACCCATGGTTGCACCCGTAGTGGAGCACCTTTATTGGGGCAACAACACCACAGTAGCCGGGGGGGCAAAGGGGAGCAGGTAAATGCCAACAAGCTATTCGCCCAGTGCGCACCAAGCCGTCCGATTTGGGACCCCCGGATCGTCATATGTACCATGTATGGGTTGTAGCTACAAATAATGGCGCCGTCCCGCTTTCACAAGAAATGTTCCTCTTTTCCGGGTCCATCTGAATTCAGCTTCGTCGTCGTCTCTTGTCGTGTGCTGAACTCGATCCAAGAGTGAGGATTGTCAGTAAAACCGTAGTCATGGTTAGAAGCAATTTGGTTCTGTCGCTCTTGGCGAGCGCTGGAGCTGTCTCTGCGGCAGCTTCTCGCCAGGCCATCAAGGTTGTTCCTGGATCATACATTGTTGAATTCGAGGACACAGAGGTGAGTTTCAACTGATGGACCGCAATTTTCTATACTGACTTACTTAGGACTCGGCAAACTTCTTTAGCCATGCCAGCTCCGTCAGCGAGACAACAAAGACCTATGACTCGCCACTCTTCAAGGGTGCCGCCATCAAGTTTAATGACCTCTCCACGGCAGACAGCGAGGCCAAGAACCTCTTGTCCTTGCCCAGTGTCAAGAAGGTCTGGCCGAACCGGGTTTACTCTCTGCCAGAGACCGAGGTTGTCTGGACGGGTTCCCCCGAGTCTGGTGCTCTGACCAAGAGACAAGACGACAATACTACCGACACCTTTTCGCCCCATGTCATGACCCAGGTCGACAAGCTCCGTGCTCAGGGTATCGTCGGTGAGGGTATCAAGATTGGTGTCATTGACACTGGTGTAAGTTGTATTACAGCGAGTTGTTGAGCCATGCTGACTTGACAGATTGACTATACCCACCCGGCCCTCGGAGGTGGTTTCGGCCCAGGCTACCTGGTCAGCTACGGCTACGATCTCGTTGGTGACGACTATACTGGTTACAACACTCCAGTTCCGGATGACGAGTAAGATGTGAAATGATTTCTCTCGAGGCTTTTGCTAATGCTAGACAGCCCGTATGATGGTTGCGCTGGACACGGTTCTCATGTTGCGGGTATCATTGCCGCTCAGCCTAATGAATTGGGCTTTACTGGTACCGCTCCTGTAGGTTGACTGCGCTTCTTTCCCTTGATCATGGCTGACTCGAATAGGGTGTCACACTTGGTGCCTACCGTGTCTTTGGCTGCGACGGCAGCGCTGGCAATGATGTCCTCATTGAGGCTTACCTCCGCGCGTACGACGAGGGCAGTCAAATCATTACCGCCTCCATCGGTGGCTCTTCCGGATGGAGCGAGGACCCCTGGGCCGTTGTCGTCTCCCGTATCGTTGAGCAGGGTGTTCCTTGCACCGTCTCTGCCGGCAACAGTGGTGACTATGGTCTGTTTTACGCCAGCACCGCTGCCAATGGTAAAAAGGTTACTGCCATTGCCTCGTTTGACAATGTCGAGTCGCCCGCTCTGCTCACCGTCTCCAACTACACCGTCGACGGAGGCAGCATTGAAAAGTTTGGCTACGCCGCTGGAGAGCCAAGCGACTGGGCTGGTGTAAACCTGCCCCTCTGGACTGCTTCCTACAACACCAGTGACACTGCCGGTGGTTGTGACGCTTACCCAACCGACACCCCTGATCTGTCTGGCTACGTTGTCCTCATTCGCCGTGGAACCTGTACCTTTGTCCAAAAGGCAACCAATGCTGCCGCGTACGGTGCCAAGTACATTTTGTTCTACAACAATGTGGCTGGCGCTACTGCTGCCGCTGCCGACACTGTCGACGGTATTCTCGCCGTCGGCATGGTCACTGCTGACCAGGGAGTGACTTGGGTCAATGCCCTCGCTGCTGGATCCGACGTTGAGCTCGACTTTGAAGACCCCGAGACGGCCCCCGTCAACTTGACCACGACCCAAAACACCGTCACTGGAGGATACCTCAGCACCTACACATCTTGGGGTCCCACCTTCGAGGCCGATGTCAAGCCCCAGGTCGGATCTCCTGGTGGCAACATTCTGTCCACTTGGCCCCAGACTCTTGGCTCTTATGCCGTCCTTTCTGGAACATCCATGGCTTGCCCGCTTGTTGCTGCCGTTATTGCTCTCGTTGCCGACGTCCGTGGCACATTCGACCCCGCCGTCATCGAGGCCCTCTTGGTCGCCACGGCCGCTCCGGCCAACCTCAACGATGGCAGCGGCACCTATGACATTCTTGCTCCCGTCGCCCAGCAGGGTGCTGGTCTCGTCCAGGCTTTCGATGCTGCCTATGCCACCATCATCCCCAGCGTCTCCTACCTTGCATTCAACGACACGGACAACTTTGTCAGCACTCTCAACTTTACCATAACCAACACGGGATCCGAGGATGTCACCTACGACCTCAGCTCTGTCAGTGCCGCCACCGGATACACCTTTTCCACCTCGATTTACCCCGACATCTTTCCCGGTATCGAGTTTACCGACGATGCTGCCACTGTCGCCTTTGGTGAGGACAAGGTTACCGTTGCTGCCGGCAGTGATGCCGTCATTTCTGTGACCGTTACTCCCCCTACCGTTGATGCTACCCGCCTGCCCGTCTACTCTGGTTACATTAACCTCAACGGCAGCAACGGTGACAGCCTCTCGCTGCCATACCAGGGCATTGTCGGTAGCCTCCACGACACCACTGTCCTCGCCGATGGCTACCTCGCCCTGTCGACCGACTCTACCCTCGCCCCCATCACGGGCAGCAACTCTAGCTTTGTCCTGTACAAGAATGACGCCAACACGACCACGGTTGTCGAGCCCCTTGCCGTTTCCGACCTGGCCTTTGGCTCGCCTCTCGTCAAGTACGAGGTCATTGACAGCAGCGAAACCAACCTGGGCCAAATCCTGGGCTCCCCCATTGAGTTTGCCTCGCGCGACCCCTGGTCGGCCGCCTGGAACGGTACCTTGGCCGACGGCACCTATGCCCCGGCTGGTACGTACAAGTTCAAGATTTCCGCTCTGCACATTTTTGGCGATGCCAGCGATGAGTCCGAGTATGATGTTGCCGAGTCGGCCGAGTTTGCCATTAGCTATGCCAACTAATATCTCACGATGAAAATAATGATATAAGTACGGTACTTTTCTTGTATATATAAAAGAAACTTTTGAATTACCCATGATGTAAACAATTTCTGTCTCTGAATGACCAAGTGATGCTATTCAAATTGATGCTATTTTGTAGAATTAAAGGTGAAATATCAAGTGTTGATTATACAATTCGTAAACGGAAATGGACAAGGTTAGCGTACCGGTCCGGGCCCGGAACATCGCGGGGCACATGGTGATGCCGTCATGACGTCCTCGTTGATATGCACCTTTAATATGCGGCACGTCATGTTTGCTTTTCATTTTGAATATTTTCAAATACAACTTGCTTAGAATGTTGAAATCACTTTTTACAAGATCTATTCCCATTCGCAGTGCATTTCGACCATTTCAAATTATAACTCAAACAGCAACCATGGCAACAGGCAAGTTTTGCAGTTAATGCCATGACTACAAGTATTGACAAATGTCCAGGCAAGACCGAAAACCAAAATCTCCAAGCCAACAGCCTGTTTGACGTCTCGCACGTCACGGCCGTAGTGACTGGCGGCGGCACTGGCATTGGCCTCATGATTACCCAGGCGCTGCAGTCCAACAGCGCCAAGGTGTACATAACCGGGCGGCGAAACGAGGTGCTCGAGGAAACGGTCAAGCGCTATAGTACCGGCCCGGGCAGCATACATGCTTTGACTGGCGACGTCAGCACCAAGGACGGCTGCGTCAAACTGGCCCAGACGCTGGAGAGCAAGGAACCCAAAGGTATTCATCTGTTGGTGAATAATGCGGGTATTGCGCGCGACGATGCGACAAAATACTGTATGTGAGATGAAAACGATGCGCAAGATTGCTTTTGTCTAACCCTGCTACAGCATCGGCCGGCCAACCCGACATGAAGGATGCCAAGGCCATATCAGAGCACTTTCTCAAGTCGGAGCAAGACGAATGGGCAAATACATTCCAGACCAATGTGGCGGGAGCATACTACATGTCCATGGCTCTACTCCCGCTGCTAGCCCGGGGCCGCGACGCGACGCCCGGGTACACGTCGCAAGTGGTCAATATCACGTCCATTTCCGGAGTCATGAAGGGTCCCAGCGGCGGCCAGCCCATTTACGCCACCTCGAAAGCGGCAGCGACACAGCTCAGCCGTGTGCTGGCGGCACTGTTTACCGAGGTCGGGATCCGCGTCAACACTATTACCCCCGGCATTTTCCCTAGCGAAATGACGGCCGGGTCGTCTGGAGAGGACAACAAGAGCACGCTGGACATGAAACTGAGTAACCCCTCTGGAAGGACGGGGCATGATACAGACATGGGGGCTACCATTTTGTTCCTTGCGGGTAAAGGTGGATTGTTTTATAATGGACAAATCTTGTACCCAGATGGAGGTGAGTAGAAATCATGCCTTGAAGTTTCATGACTGACATGTAATCTAGGGTCCACCCTCGTTCAGCCGGCAGCGAATAACTAGGTGATGGAAAATACATGCAATCACGTAAGGTTCATGATTGCGTGCCAATGGATTTAATGGGAATGCAAGGTGTTATAAACGCTTGAGTCGTGATACATGGCCATGTGAATAATCTATCCAAAGCATGCTTGTTCCCAAAGCATCCGAGAGTTGTAAAAACTGCATCGTCACAATGCATCGTTTATGGAAAATCAAAATTTCGCTTGGAAAACGATCAAGCAGGAAGGTCAAATACCTTGCCTGGATTCATCAACCATCTACATTGTTAGCCGAGGTCAAAATTGTGAATAAGAAACTTACTTGGGATCCACTGATTGCTTCAAGGTCTTCATGAGATGAATTGTATCCTCACCGAGCTCATCAACAAGACATTCCTATTCATGTGAGTGTAGTCAACACAAGACGAGAAGAGCACCAACCTTTTTACCAATGCCAATCGCATGTTCGCCCTGCATCTGGTGAGTACGTGTTCATTTCAAACCCTTGCTACTTACCGATACAGTTCCCTCCATTTCCAAAGCTCTGGCCATCATTTTATGCACACAGTCAGAGACGAATTTTTGATGCGACTTGTTTTCCGTCTCGTACAAGACGGCTTGATGAAAGTTTCCATCACCGACATGACCAATGACGCTCGCAAAAAGGCCTAGCTTGCTTGAATCCTGCTTGGAGAGTTCTGAATGACGATTAGTCATGGACGTGTCAAACTGTATTAATGCATACCAATAATTTCGGCCAACCTGGAAATGGGCACCGCCACGTCGGTCGACCAGATGGAGTAACCCGGCGGCTTGATGGATGTCATGGTCCATAATGCTTCTTTTCGTGCCGACCACATGTCGGCCTCTTCTTGCTTGTTCCTGGCAAAGAATATAGACTGTGGCGAGTATGGTTTCACCAGGTCCGTGACTCTCGAGACGTCTCCCTTGATGCCGTCGGTTGTTCCCGAGAATCTAGAATGATTAGCCAGTATATCCATACGATGATCTCTTGTCATACTTGAGAAATAGTGTCGGGCTTTCATCCCACTTGATCTTCTTGACTGCCTCACTGCCATGTCGATTAACAACCTCCATTTGCGTATCATCCATTAATTCCAACGCTGCCAGCTGAATGCCCGAGCGAATAAGCCTTGTAGCAGCAGTGGTTGCATCCGTAAGTGTAGGAAAGGAAACGACTGCGACACTGGTATCCTGCGGTATGACGGCCAACTTCATGGTGATCTCGGTGACAATACCCAGAGTACCTTCGGCGCCGACAAACAGGGACGTGAGATTGTACCCGGCAGAATTCTTCCGGGGCCGCCTGCGCGTCTTGATCACCCGGCCATCCGCCAGTACCACGGTCACGCTCACCACCCAGTCCTTCATGGTGCCGTAGCGAAACGCATTGGTGCCGCTGCAATTCGTCGACACCATACCGCCAATGGTGGCCGTGGGTGACGGGTCCAGCGGGACAAACAGCCCGTCGTCCTTGATCTGGTTGTTTAGATCCAGCCAATTGACTCCAGGCTGAACCACAACGTCCATGCTGTTACGAGTTAGCAAGCTCGAGGTTGGTCACGTCCAACTTACTCATCCGGATGGAATGCGACGACCTTGTCCATCATGGTAAAGTCTATGCATATACCGGAATATGGAGAGGAAAAGCTCCCCTCTACAGACGAGCCCGCTCCGTAGGGAACTAATTACGGTAAATATACATTTGTAGCGCCATACTGACATCAACTGACCCATGGGGACATTTAGCTTGTTGCAAATCTTGACAATTCCGCAGACCTCTTCTGTAGTCTTGGGATAGACGACAGCTACCGGCCGCCCAGGCGAGTTGGACGTGGACCAGTCGGAATATCCATGGCTCTCGATGGTTTCTTCATCAAAGCTGACCGAGTCCTCGCCAAGCAGACTGGTGATTTCATCTGCAGCCTGTACCAAACCGTCAGCGTCGGAATAGACTCGAGATTAATCAACTACACACTTTTTGCATGGCCGCTCGGCTGCCATAACGTGTCTGTGGCGATCGATTGAGCTCATGAGGCGCAGGCCGCGTGTCCCGTGTATTCGACCACCACGCGCCTAGGCCAACGGCTGCAGGCAGCGCAAGTAACGCCCATACCGGAAGCGTCACGTGCGCCCGGCTCTGGAGCGGCGGCGGCGTCGTCTTGTTGGTTCTCTGGCTGTACCGGCAGACTTGACCTCTGCGAGTGGCCGTCTTGGCCGCACGAGGGGCTGCTGCTACATGAAAGGCCCGAATGGTTTTTTGAAGCGACAACATCGTGGCTGGTAACTGACCTGGACTTGAACAAGTGGCCGTAGTGTTTAGATGCCTGCCGGGGACAAGTCAAGAGGTTGGCGGCAGTAGATTTCAACATGGCCTGGTTCCGCGGCCAAGGATTGCGGGGCCGGCGGCGATCCGACGGTTAGCATTCGGGGTGGATGATCTCGTCAGCAGTAAATATTGAACCTAGTCTTGATGAGTGAACAAACCATGACCGGATTACCCGTACATTTCGTAGACCCTCGACCTCGGCTTCATTTCCATTATTCCTCCATTTCACGTTTTCAATCCGAATCACTGTTTACGTCTTTACCCGTTTTCATGCGCATGCGGGCTTGCGGGCCGTGGCGTTGCCCTGAATCCAATAGAGGGGCGGGTGGAATACCAATAGGCGAGTATTGAAGCATTTGTTGACTTCATGACTCGTGACAAAAGCGCACAAGTGACCATGAGTGTCATGCAGGCTCCTTCAAAAGGATTCATCATGCTTGGGCTTGTGATCCTTTTATTCCCATCATACTTGGCAGCCTGATTTCAAACATTCAAGGCATGTACTCGCACATTATTGCGTCTGCAATAGTCAGAGGAATCTACAATGTCATCAACTTTATTCAGCTCAAGACGGAATAATGTATCTATACGTGGTGGCGTAGCGAAATTGTTGAGTACCAAGGACTGGGATGTTTGCTTTTGGCGGTTTTGATCTTTCAGCTCACCGGCAAATTCCGCAAAGGCAATAAGAAGCGGTGCCAGTGAGGCGTGCGGGCTTCTTTAGCCATACTCGGCAGCAGGGCGGTAAATGTGGCTGGGTTGATTTCCTCCAACAAGGGAAAAGAAGAAGAAAGTTTCGTGGTACTGCAGTGGGAGCACAACCGAGTGAGCCGGAAGATCGTAATGCAAGATCGAAACACCCCTGCTTTTTCCGCATTCATCGACGGGCTGGTCACTGTATCGACCTAGATTTCAATGACAGCCATGATGAAGTAATCAGAATACTCCTTGTCAAGTCTTGATCACTCGATGGGAAATGCAGAAATCACTATTAATGTATCCATCATGCCGCAGCTGGCTCGACAGCTCCTGCAAGGTCGATCAAGACATGAGCATCCCTGTTGAAGCTATATCCTCCTTTATACCAGTGGATTTATCATATAATCTTGGAATCATGTAACACCTTGTCTTCTTACACCCCAAAGCCATGTCAAAGACGATGAATCTCAATTACATGTCTGCATTGTTTTATTCTAGTCCAAACCTCTATCCATAAAGTAGTACAATGCGCCGTTACCAACCAACAAAACCAGGCAAACACAAACACCTTCTAAAGCCAAATACACCATTCCTGCCCTTGATAAACCAAACATTTTTAACAGTCCATTGATGAAACATTCCCTCTTGTTTCTCTCTTGAATTGTTTTCGTCGAGTGAGCGAGCCTAATAAGGCACGCCTAGCTGGTCGAGTATTACTCTTTGCGTTTCATCTTGTCCTGTTAGTAAAGCATCTCATGTAGAGGAATTCTACACTTACTTGGAGCCTGTCGAGGGACCTGTCCTACTGCTTCGTTGCGCACCTTGATGCGAAATTTGGTGCTCTCACCACCCGTAGCTCCATCCGGACCGAATTCTTGGATCGTGGCCGTGAGGTCATAGGTGCCGGCGACCTCTAGGCTGAGATCTTCAAAGCCTGCCAACATCTTTGTCGTACCCTGCGCGTCCACGGTTGTCCAGTTTGCAGTCTTCATGATGGTGCCTTTGCTAAAGTATTGGCTCTTGTTCATTGGGTTGTGGTAATTCCCCGCCGCGTCATGGGCCAGGACCATGATGGAATACTCCTTGCCCTCGACAGGATTGACCACTTCCAAAACGAGAGGGGGGGAAAAGGTTTTATTCTTTCCCACGGTTTCTGCTGGCCGAATCAAAATGTTCAGCGTAGGAGAGGTTCCCGCGGCCGCCATTGTATTGTAGTCGTAGCCGTAGCCGTAGCTGTAGTCATATGTCTGATTGTAGTCTTGAGTTGCGTAACTCTGATCGTATCCGTGAGTAGAGTAATAGTTTTGTTGATTCACAGGAGCCGCCGTCCTCCCAGAACGTCTTGCTTTATATGCCATGATGAAACAAGCAACTAGTCAGAGGAATGCTTCAATATTCAATAATAGCTGCTATGCAAACGGCATACAGCAAGGTTGATTGGAGGTGGAAAAGGAATGGTTTGTTCAAGAATGATGTCGGTGGCCTCGGAAAACCACAAACAAGAGCCAAGAATGATTGTCGAATGTAGACTGCCCAACGAAAATGACACTGCTCGCAAAGAGGTGTTTATATAGCAAAGATTGGAAAGAATTCAGAGCTGAACACGGGCTGGATGCAAAAATCAATATTCGCATATAGTCTTGACCAAGTATCGACAAGTCCTATCCTCCACATTTTACATCACAACACACAAGAGCTGTGTTCGCTAGTGGCCCTCATCGGTGACCTCGGGGAGCCTGGCAAGAAACGATCCATGTAATCAACGGCTCGAATTCCCCGGGCTCAGATGGATTGGAATTTTTCCCTGATTCTTTCCTTTTTCTCGTGGCTATTCTCGCTCCTCTTGAGAGGAAATGGCTCCAGGACTCTGACTCTGTTATCCACCTTTGTCTGGCATTTTCATTGCTTTTATGACCCCTTGAAGGATCTAGTAACATGTAGGGCCCAGCAGATTGGTTTAGCAGGGAATAACAAAAGAGGCCAGGCTGTGAATGTTCTGCTTGGACCCTTGGGGGACCCAGAGGTATGGGTTCACGTGGCTTGTAAGATTTGTTCAGTAATCATGTCGAGCACTTCTTCAGCCACATGGTTCCCTTGGAGGCATTATAGTGGTATAAAGGTCGGGCTTGGCACGATTAGCGAGCTGCGCGCATCGTAAACAGAGTTTCAGTTTTCTTTTTTTTCTACAAAGAGGCAAATTTGACGGAGATTTACGAGTAATAGAAAAAAGAATTATGAAACTGGAATTTGAATTATCAAATATCGATTCGCTAAACCTGTCGACGGTTTCCTGCTCACCAACGACGAGACACTTGTGTGTGCTCGGTCCCAGTAATCCGGGTGCTTGGGTCCTTAGTGCGAAACAGGGCGCCTTGTCGACCATTTTGCTTTTTCTGCTTCGTAAGGATCACCATTTTCAACATCAAGGACCATGATTTTAATCAGACCCCTGCCTACAAGACTCCAAGCAACTCTAGTGAACCTAGAGTCGGGATCTTCTGATGGGAACTTCTGACGCACACTGCAAGGGTCCTTGATTAAAAGAAGGATCCACGGCTGTTGCCATTTACCCTCCCGCCAGGCCGGACCTCTACGGCCCTCCCCGCAAGCTTCTACACGAGCTTCTTTTTTACACGTTCCCTGCATCGAGAGAGCCCAATCAACCGTGAGTATAGTAGTTTCTCGCGGCCCGATGGTGATTTTGGTATTCACCTCGTCAGCAAGATTTCTTCTTGAGGATCAGAGACCTGGTAAGATTTGGTTGCTCTAGCATGGTTGCAAGTAGAAATCAGAACATTAACCGTTCCATCTTCATTTGCCGCCCAGTCCTTGGGTCGAAATCCTTATGAGTCCAAGATGAAAGCAAGTTTGCAATCCCGAGTATTTTTGTACTCATTTGTTCCATTCCAACCAACCGGGTCCAGTCCGTGGAATCAAGAGATCCAGACTCTTACACCGAGTCCTGAATGTACCGACTGGCAAGTGACGAATAAAAATGACAAGTATCAATTCCACTCAAATGACGCCAGAGGGTTCCGTCATCTGATTCAGTATACAATCTTGTCATTACTTTGTGATATCGGCACCCGGTCTTCATCTTCTCAGCTCTCGGAATGTGGCCCCCATGAGCGGCAGAAAGACATGCTAGTGAAAACTATTAAAATCGGCTGTAACCGCAACTGACATCCGAAAGTATAAGTTCAAGGAACAAGTGATGAAATTCTCCGTATTCGGCCGAGAAGCCGTCAGTAGAGGAGCCCGACTGGATGGGAATGGATTGATCGTACTTGAGCCATTCTCATGCAAGATTAATTTTTCCGCCATCTCTTGCGGTCTACGGGATGGCCGCACTAGATTGAGATGATGCAAGCCGCAGAGATCTTGTCACACCTGTGGAAAAAGGCCGAGCCCTCTTCTAGACCCATCAATCTTTGGATGACACTCGACGAACCCATGTTGGGCTGGGCCATGATCTGGGATTTCCGGTGACACGGGGCTGAATCAAGCAGAAACTCCAAACCGTACCAATGCCATGACCAAAAATTACGGACCCAAAAGCCAGCAAAGCCCTCTCACAGAACAATATACGTATAACATGGTCTTTGTACATTTATCAAGACACTTGATATACACTGCAGACCATATCTGCGACTGGCGATTTGCAATTGCCACGCGGCAAGAGTCTGAATTAGAATACATGTGCCTGCCAACACCCGATTCGCATGACGTTTGCAAGGCGTGACACGCACGCAACCCTCCAAGATTCTTGAATGGGATTGCCCTGCTTTTTACTCTCCCCACTCAGGACGGGACTTTTGTTCTCAGCTGTACGCCATGCCAGCCCTTCATCTGTTCTCCCAGGACGGCATTGACCATGCGTTGCTGCTTTAGCATGTTGGTGCCGCGAAACTTTTCCGAGGCGATTTCAATGCCGTACATGGAGCCGCAACCCCCAGACACGTCTTGTACCATGAGTTCCGTGGGCGCAAACTCTGCCGTTAGCTTGTCCCATATCTCTGACTCGGCGGCATCGAGGTAATCGGGTTTCTCGGGGGTGGTGCTGGGACTCGGTGACGACGAAGCTGTGGGTGATGATGTCTCGGAAGAAGAGGTCGAGTATTGCTTTAGTGACCAGGCACCGACAGCCTGTCGCCTGGCTTGTAGTACTGAAGCAAGGGGTGTTGCTGCCTTGCGCGACGCCCTGAGGGTGGCACGAACAGGTGCTTGTGCCCATGTGCTCTGCGCTCTCGATGCAGAACCGAGTTGCCGTACAGCTCTGGTGGTTGCGCGCCTGCATTGATGGCACAACATGGCGGCTGAAATGTGACTGACTGGAATGAATGGATTGGTGTAAAAAGTGGGCAAAGAAAAGTAAACAGGGCAGATGAGCTCTGTGCTTCTTGACGACAATCCAGTCACAGCCAACGAAAGTAAAGTGATTAGTAGCTGTCAAGAAGCTCCAACCAAAAAAGTTGGCGGCGTTTCCCAGTGCCTTGGGTACGCCGCGGCACCCGTCCAGGCCACTAAATTTCCTCGGGCCGGAAGATCAAGATAAGCCGCCAACTGTCAGCTCAAGTGGCCCAATCAGCGCCTAGCATTTATAAATGGCCTTTTTCAACATGGTCCTTTTGCATACAAATCGAGTTGTTACGATGACAAAATAAAAATGCACATTGTCATGGAATTGTTTTTACACAGCCACAAGTGTCGGCGTTGAGCTGTGGAATCACGGACAAGATGAAATAGTAATAATTCACGGGCATTGCCAGCACCAATAAAGATGCCATCTTTCAAAATCAGTAAAAGAGTTCTGACAAGAAAGTGAATAGCAAAATCAAAACATAAAAAAGGTGAGTTGAATCAACACAGACAGCATTTGAACTCACAACTTATCGGCGATCCCAAAATACAAAAAGACGGCCGCCAGGGCCCCTTCGGGTAGTTGACCCAAAGGCCAACAACACCGCTGACGGCCTTGAGGAATATGCACCGTTTCTTGCCTTATAAGGCCTCGTCCGGTAAGGGGACGAGGCAACCAAGTAGTTTTCACAAACTGTGGGAGGAAATTCCACGTTTTTCAAATAGTCTCGTTTGTCAGGATCTACAGTAGTAACCTAGCCGGTATGTGAATGAGAGCGTTCAGGGCACAAGTATGTCTGCTCTGCTCTAGGAGTATTTGTATTGTATAGTAAATGAGAGTCAGTAGCTGAAATTTAATCTTTTCGACCATATTACATCTTTGAGGGTTTCTTATTTGTTCCTCTTATATATTTGATTTGTACCACTATCCTCTTTTCGCATGAATAAATCAACAGGATGAGTGAAAATCTTTCCAAGTGCGATAAAATTTGTTTGAAGTCGACCGAGGCAATACAAAAGTCATGCCGCCCTCTGAATTGCTTCTATCAAAAGCTCTTGTATGTCAAATGTCCATGCCAAAAGCATACATGTATCAAGTTGGACGTACTCATCCCATTGAATGACATGCATTTCAAAACCATGACATGGGCTACCAGGGGAGATGTTGACAATATCTATGCGCTGGCAAGAGTTGCGATACATGGCAAAAGTGGCACTGCCCGTGAAACCTTTAAAAGAGTTACCAGGACCGCGACCGAGAAAATTCAGGTACAATGTCGGGAGAACCCGTGAGTAAGTTGAGTAGTGGATGTTGACATGTCTCCAATTGAAACGATTAGACGACATACTTGTCTTGTTTTTCAGGCCACTTGGGAACTGATGCACATGGTGTGTCCATGGGATGCTGATTATAGACAAGGATGACAATCAGAACGTAGGAACGAAATTGAGTGAATCCATGCACTCGGTGATTGTATACTCCATCATTCTCCAAGCAGTGGTCGCGGCAGTTGAGAGTCCCTGGCTTCATCACTTGATCGGGACTCACTGTACAGATGGGAGTGGTAACAAAGAGGCTGTTGGTTCAAGGAATACTTCCACAGCTTTACCTTGTGTATTCCAGAACAAATGTTCAAGATTTCTTACAACTTGTAAACCACAGGGTAAGTTGGCCTTGAACATTGGTGCACCTGACAATGTCTTGTAACAAAAGTATGACTTTTAATGAGAACGAGAACAGGAATAAATCAAGCCCAAGCAGAATCGACAGGTGCGCAAGAGATGAGATAAACCATTCCAGCCACTTGCAGTATTGGAAATGAATGTGGTGAATCATGTCACTTGATTTTTTTGCAGTAACAAGAGTACCGACTTTTGCACTGAAAAATTGACAGCCAGAAAACAACACAAGGAAAACACGTACAAACATTCCAAGATACCGACACTTGTCGAATCAGGAAGGTCAAGGAATAAAGCCATGTCCCAAGCCAAACCTCCCGTCCCAGCAGATTTGCAGACAAACGATCACGACATTTGCGGCTCAAATAAGCATAATACCATCTCAAGTCGCTTTTCAAAGACAGGCTCAACAAGCGATCAAATCCTCGTTCTTGATGGATTACCGAGTTCACGGTACGATCCGGGTCATGCATAGCATTCTTATTTTTCCCTGCCCGCGCTTGCGGGAAAGAATGGGCTGCATATGTTCAGCCCTGCCCAGACCAACGAGAGGAGCTACCCTTGTACAGCACCGGGGAGGAGGGGGAAAAAATCGTACGATTCTGACATCAAGCGCAACGGCTGTCCCTGAGGATCATTTTAGGGCCCGCTGAAGGCTTTGGACCCTTGGAAAAAGAACAAGATATAAATCGACAACATGTGCATCAGCTTTCTTGTCGAAATGTCTGTTAGTCCTCTAGAGTCGTGCGCAACAGCATTCATGACAATCTTGAACTCGACAATCTTTTTCTCAACTCGACTTATGGGTCCACAGCACGGCGCCATAAATCTCTCATGGACCTGATAGCACGTGAAAACCGCCGACGATATCAATTATCACATGAACAAGGCAAAGAGGACAATCATGAACAATTGCAATCTGAAATCCGAGCAAGGGAGTAAGAGGCCGACGAACCGGGAAAAAATCAGACGAATCCATCACCCTGTCTTGGCTTGGCTAATCTTTTAGCCAGCTTGAATGGGAAGGTAACAAGTATGGAGTACACTGATAAACCGACTGTTGAAGCAAGACTGTTTCAACATTTGCACAGCGTCGACAACACGATATCTAGAAACAAACACACCGACGTGGAATCCCCATGGCTACATTGGCGCCGTGTCGTCTCAGCAATCCATGCGCTAGACATGCCCGGAACACGACAAGGACGGAAGTTCCCCAAACGATAGTTCCCACGCCCAATTCCGATTCCCTGAATTAACAACAACAAAACAAATTTGGATCGCTCGCGTTTTTGGGGACACGGGGGGCAACAAGAGCTTACGCACGCTTATGCATAGATAGCGGCTTGCATAGAAGGGGAACGGACAAGTCGTTGGGGATCTGCGACCTACGATTGTGTGGAGCGACGATCGGGACACCTGACGACGTGGAAATTGAATCGCGCACAAGAAGGGGGAGGGATTTCTTGATCGCGGACGCGCGGAAGCCGAAGACCGCAGCCAAGACCAAAAATACCTGCAGCTACCATTACAAGACCCGCGGGCCTCGCATCCCGTAAGCCGGCAAGATGATGACCTGCCCGCCCTCTTTCCACTGCAGCATCTTTTTTCCTTGGAAATTTGCCAGTCCAGATGGAGCAAAAGCAGTTTGGCAGCTCCCACTATTGCCGCCCGATCAAAGATGCGCTAAACTTGAGCAGACTTGGTAAGTGGGAATGATTGCCCCTGGCTCGAGAGCTGCCCAGTCTGGCTGTCTGGGTGGTGCGGTGCGCTACATGGCCAACGTTGGATGGACCCCAACAACACCAACAATTGAGTCTAGGTTCGGTATCGACATGACAGGGGGCTTTAAATTTTTGCATGGACCCACAGGAGCTTTGGGTAGGTAGGAATCCTCAAGACGAACAGACATGTCACGATATTGACATTCAAGCTGAATATTGAGTTTGAACAAGTGCACAAGCTCGACTTCAGCTCGACCAGACTTTGCACCGAGAGCTTGGAACAGTCAGCTTTTGACAGAATCGTGCAAAGACAACAGTAAGCTGCCAGACCATGAGATCCCTCAGGATCAGCCCCGAATGCTATTTTTTGTACCTTCCCCGGACCAAGCTATGCTCTGTTTAGTATAGTGACATTTTGTGTGTTGAGCTCTTGGTTGGCGTTTCCACTTTTTATATACTCTTTACCTTATTCCACGTCCAAATCTGTAGCAGTGCTTGGTACAATACATGGAATTCATGTCAGTAATCGGCACGTCGCTGTAGCATTCGTATCAAATCTATAAAGCAATTGCCGTATCAAACTTGACAGCCAGTCAGCTTGGCCAGATGTGCCTGTTTCAGTGGCCGTCATAATGGCAGAGCCATTTACTTTGACGCTACTATAATTCTGTCTTGCCCAAATATTTGAGTTCAATGCACCTGTGGCCCGAGCCCGAGCGATGATCCGTTAGCCTGTCACGTACACTGACGATTCTTTTTCCCCAGCGGAATGGTTTACAAATTTACCAGTGCTTGGCCAAAGTTTCTTTGGTCCCTGGATCTCCCCCCAACGCCCCGGGACTTGCAGCCTGACGCTTGCAGATACGTCTGGAGGCTGATGAGAAACGATACCAGCCCGCCATTCAGTTGAATGCCCAATCGTTGCAAACCTTGAATTCTGACCACCCTGCCTTTCGCTCCGATTCCCCCAGGACGCGAGCTAATGTTACTGGTCACGACAAGGGCTTCCATCATGTACATGATGACTGGTTGAGTAATCTGATACATGTACTGTAAAAGTCGAAAAGACAATCCCACGTCGACTCAATAAGACAAATGAAGCACTCTGTAAAAGTAAAAGATGGCCAAACTGCAGAGTAGGTACTCGTTTTGGGCCGCGTGTTGTAGGCATGAAAATCGTGGTTCCGCTCTTAATTCAATCAAAAGGTACCAAATACCCGCCGGATTGCCAAAGTAATAACCCGCAAAGTACATGCAAACATCTCGTACATGTGTGAATAAGCGTGCAGACATGGATGGGTAATCACAAGTACACGCTACATTGTACCAGACGGTGTAGTCATGCAAACAACGAGGTAGATGGTCCAGGTAACCTAGTATTCAACCACATCAGCCTTGTTGGTACCGCCATTCCAGATCATACCCCAGTCGAGTCCTCCCTCACCCCCCTCCACTTGGCGAAAGGAACGGATATTTCCTTCTGTTGAATTTAGGAAACATGAGAATAAATAGCTTTTTAATTGCCATGTCCGCTCCTCGTTCTCTGTCTGCTGACCTGCTCCTGTTGCCTCTCTTGACTTTTTGTCTTGACCATAACAGATTTTCCCTTCCTCTCCATACCGATAGACTCGTTTTTTTTGCTTCGTGCTGGGAAACGGTCGACATAATTGTCCTTGTCGGCCTTGTTTTGTGTAAGTCGTGCTGACCATGCATTCCCCTCTATCCAATCACTATACCTTGCACCAGCTTCCAAAGCATTCATTCCCCTTCCATCCCTCTGGTGCATCGTCTACGGATTCGAGCAGTCCTAGTGTGCCGTGTCGTGTTTGTTCAGTCTGGCTTCGTCTATAGCCATGGCTACAGCAAACGTTGCAACAATCGATCGGTACATTTCATTGCCATCGGACGGACGTTACGGACTTCTCAATGGGGAAAAAGGAACATACAACTCCAAAACCAGCAGTGTGGGCGGGACCTGACAAGGCGGGACACTTTTTTTTGGAGTGGCCATTTTGGAAGCTTTCTCAGCCAACTGGGGCTTCTGAAATCCCAATCCTTGCGCCCGTAGCCCGCGCGCCCACTCCAGCTCCCACGCCTATTCCGCAAGCTGTGAGATCGGGCGCGCTATCGCTACATTTTTTTTTTCTAGAGGGTTTCGGGTCCCGAATTTCCAGGTCCCCCTGCCCGCCAGAAAAGCGTTCCGCGTTCTATGGTTCCCCCCCCAAAGCCAATGACGATTGTCTCAACAGAAAGTCCCCGTCCCCCGAAAGGACCCAATGAGAAGCCCCGGATCCCCGATCAAGCTGCGCCAAAGGTCCCCATCACCTGGGTCAATCGGCATGTCACTTGTGCGGGCTTGCTTGAGATGATCCCTTTGCCATAACGTTCGGGGGGTATCCCATTTGTACCGAGTGGACTGGGGAAAACTCACTGATCTTACCCTCTCCTTGCACCCATTAATTCACTTGTCCCCAGAATAAAAAAAAAGGCCCAGAAAATAGTGAATCTCACTTGCACAACTATCGTCTCACCTCTTTTTATCAATTTCTTCCCTTCTTCATATGCTAATTGCAGATTTGGTTTTGGTTGCAGATATTCCCCAATTCGTCCAAACTCCACGATTTGCTCTTTCCAATTTAGGGATCTACCACCGAAACGACGTCAGGTAGCATTCGACGAAACTGCAACGAGTTGACAAAAAAAGTCTAAAGAGGGACAATCAGGTACGGCCCACGTGTAACCAAACTCGGGTCCTGCGCAAGCGAACAATCACGGACGAAACCAATAAGCTAACCCACGCGCTCGTCTTGTCTTTAGAGCTGCAGATAACACATTTCTGCTTCCTGTCCGCACTTTTTTCCAACCACGATTGCACTGTATTCGAGCTTACTGGGAGCTCGACTCGGGCAGTCTCTGTACATTAATGGTCGTCTAGATCTTCTTGTATTCCGAATAATCGATTCGATCGTCCCCTCCTGGTCGAATCCCGCCACTATTACTACTACATCACTCCCTCTGCCATCCGACACAATGGCGACCAACGGACACGGCCCTGCCACCAATGGCACCAATGGCACCCGGACGGTCCCCCAGACCAACGGCAAGGCCTCCTATGCTGAGAAGCACAGGATCGCAGACCACTTTATTGGTGGTAACAAGCTTGAGAATGCCCCCCCTTCTCAAGTCAAGGACTTTGTGGCTCTCCACGATGGTCACACGGTCATTACCAACGTGAGCACGCACAAGAACCGGCACTTTCAAAAGGCACTGCTAACTTCATTGCCACCAGGTATTGATTGCCAACAACGGTATCGCTGCCGTCAAGGAGATTCGATCGGTACGGAAATGGGCCTACGAGACATTTGGCGATGAAAAGGCCATTCAGTTTACCGTCATGGCCACCCCCGAAGATTTGGCAGCCAACGCCGACTACATCAGAATGGCCGACCACTACGTCGAAGTGCCCGGTGGCACAAATAACAACAATTATGCAAACGTCGAGCTGATTGTTGATATTGCCGAGCGCATGAACGTACACGCCGTGTGGGCCGGATGGTGAGTTCACTTGTACATGAATATCTCCAACTAGAACTGACATGCTCTAGGGGCCATGCCTCTGAAAACCCCAAACTGCCAGAGTCTTTGGCAGCCTCGCCAAAGAAGATTGTCTTTATTGGACCCCCGGGTTCTGCCATGCGCTCTCTTGGTGACAAGATTTCCTCCACAATCGTCGCACAACACGCAAAAGTTCCTTGCATACCATGGTCTGGAACCGGTGTGGATCAGGTTGAGATTGATGAGCATGGCATCGTGACTGTCGAGGACGACATTTACCTCAAGGGTTGCGTCAGCTCGTGGGAAGAGGGTCTCGAAAAGGCCAAGGAGATTGGCTTCCCCGTCATGATCAAGGCTTCCGAGGGTGGTGGTGGCAAGGGTATCCGAAAGGCCATGTCGGAAGACGGCTTTGAGCAGCTGTACAAGGCTGCGGCAAGCGAGATTCCCGGCTCTCCCATCTTCATCATGAAGCTTGCTGGAAACGCAAGACATTTGGAGGTCCAATTGCTTGCTGACCAGTACGGCAACAACATTTCCCTCTTTGGCAGAGATTGTTCCGTTCAGCGAAGACACCAAAAGATTATCGAAGAGGCCCCAGTCACGATTGCCAAGCCCCCTACCTTCAAGGGTATGGAGGATGCTGCCGTCCGTCTGGGCAAGCTCGTCGGTTACGTCTCTGCCGGTACTGTCGAGTACTTGTACTCGCACGCCGACGACCAGTTCTACTTTCTCGAGCTGAACCCCCGTCTGCAAGTCGAGCACCCTACCACGGAAATGGTCAGTGGTGTCAACCTGCCCGTCGCCCAGCTCCAGATTGCCATGGGTATCCCGCTGCACAGAATCCGTGACATTCGTTTGCTGTACGGCGTCGATCCCAAGACTGCCACTGAAATCGATTTCGAGTTCAAGACCCCCCAGAGCGAAAAGACCCAGCGCAAGCCCGTGGCCAAGGGTCACTGTACTGCCTGTCGTATCACTTCCGAGGATCCCGGTGAGGGTTTCAAGCCTTCCAACGGTGTCTTGAGAGACCTCAACTTTAGATCCAGCGCCAACGTCTGGGGTTACTTTTCCGTCAGTACCGCTTCCAGTATCCACAGTTTCTCCGACTCTCAATTCGGTCACATTTTCGCCTATGGTGAGAACCGTGCTGCTTCCCGAAAGCACATGGTTGTGGCCCTCAAGGAGCTGAGCATTCGTGGTGACTTCAAGACGACCGTCGAGTACCTGATCAAGCTGCTCGAGACGGAAGCCTTTGAGGACAACACCATCACCACTGGCTGGCTGGATGAGCTCATTACCACCAAGCTGACTGCTGAGCGCCCTGACCCCATGCTCGCCGTCATTTGCGGTGCCGTGACCAAGGCCCACATTGCCAGCGAGGAATGCATCACCGAGTACCGTGCCGGTCTCCTCAGAGGTCAGGTTCCCTCCAAGGATATCCTCAAGACCGTGTTTGGCATTGATTTCATCTACGAGGGCTCTCGCTACAAGTTTACCGCCACCAGGGCAAGCTTTGACAGCTACCACCTCTTTATCAATGGCTCCCGCTGCATTGTTGGCATTCGTGCCCTCAGTGACGGTGGTCTCCTGGTTCTCGTCGACGGCCGCAGTCACAGCGTCTACTGGAAGGAGGAAGTTGGCGCCACGCGTCTCTCGGTCGACGGCAAGACTTGCTTGCTCGAGCAGGAGAATGACCCGACCCAGCTCCGAACTCCCAGTCCCGGTAAGCTCGTCAAGTACACGGTCGAGAATGGCGAACACGTCAAGGCTGGCCAGACCTATGCCGAGGTCGAGGTCATGAAAATGTTCATGCCCCTCGTTGCCCAGGAGGATGGTATCGTCCAGCTCATCAAGCAGCCTGGTATTACCATTGAGGCTGGTGACATTCTGGGTATACTTGCTCTCGATGACCCTACCCGCGTCAAGCAGGCCACTCCCTTCCTGGGCCGCCTCCCCGACCTTGGTCCTCCTCAGGTCATTGGAAACAAGCCCGCTCAGCGATTCGGTACTCTGTACAACACTCTGAGCAACATTCTCGATGGTTTCGACAACTCTGCCATTATGAAGGAGACTCTCGACGAGACCATCAAGGTGCTGCGCGACCCCGAGCTGGCCTTTGGTGAATGGAACTCGCAGCACTCGGCCCTGCACTCTCGCATGCCCGGAAAGCTCGACACTCTGCTGCAGCAGGTTCTTGACAAGGCCAGATCGCGTGGTGCAGAGTTCCCCGCCAAGGCCTTGTACAAGACGCTCAACAAGTACCTCGACGACAACCTGTCTGCTGGCGATGCCGACCTCCTGAGAGCCGCTCTGGCTCCGCTCACTGCAGTCCTGGACGTCTACGTTGACGGCCAAAAGGCCCGCGAGCTCAAGGCCATTGCTTCGCTCCTCGACAAGTACCATGATGTGGAGAAGCTCTTTTCTGGCCGTCGCCTGCAAGACGAGGATGTCATCCTCAAGCTGCGTGACGAGAACAAGGAAGACTTTATGAAGGTCATTCAGATTGTCCTCTCGCACAGCCGCGTCGGTTCCAAGAGCAACCTGATTGTCGCCATCCTGGACAGATACCGACCCAACCAGCCGGCAGTGGGTAACATTAGCAAGTACCTGCGACCTTGCCTGCGCAACCTCACCGAGCTCGAGGCCCGCCAGACTGCCAAGGTTTCCGTCAAGGCACGAGAGATTCTCATCCAGTGCTCCCTCCCCTCGCTCGAGGAGCGTACCGAGCAAATGGCCCACATTCTCAAGTCGTCCGTCATTGAGAGCAAGTATGGTGAGGCCGGCTGGGAGCACCGTGAACCCAGCTTTGACGTCATTAGAGAAGTGGTTGACTCCAAGTACACCGTCTTTGATGTCCTGAGCAGGTTCTTTGCCCACGAAGATCCCTGGGTCTCTCTGGCTGCCCTCGAGGTCTATGTCCGCCGTGCTTACCGTGCGTACAACCTGAAGCAAATCTACTACCAGTCCGATGAAAGCGACGCGCCCTCCTACCTGACCTGGGACTTTGCCTTTAGAAAGATGGGCCAGCCCGAGTTGGGTGTGGCTGGCAACGCTGCCTACACCTCGGTTCCCCAGACCCCGACCCACGAGTACAGCTTCAAGCGCATCAGCTCCATCAGTGACATGTCCTACCTCGACCGTCACACCTCCGAGGAGCCCACTCGCAAGGGTGTCATTGCCTCGTGCAAGTACTTGGACGATGCCGAAGAGTACCTGCAAAAGGTCCTCGAGTCGCTGCCCCACAAGAAGAACAGCCCCAAGATGATCCCCGACCTGAGCGGCAAGAGAAAGCCCGTCCGTTCCGAGACCCTTGACGAGCTCTCCAACGTTGTCAACATTGCCATTGCCGACGCAGAGTCCGTTGACGACAATGACATTCTCACTCGTCTCCGCGCCATTGTGGATGCCAACAAGTCTGAGCTTTTGGCTCGCCGCGTCCGCCGCGTCACCTTTATCGCCGGCCACAATGATGGCTCTTACCCTGGCCACTACACCTTCCGAGGCCCCGAGTACCAGGAGGACGACAGCATCCGTCACAATGAGCCTGCTCTTGCCTACCAGCTCGAGCTGGGACGTCTCTCCAAATTCAAGCTCTCGCCCGTCTTTACCGAGAACAAGAACATTCACATTTACGAGGCCGTTGGCAAGGGAGTCGAGACTGACAAGCGCTACTTTACCCGTGCCGTCATTCGTCCTGGACGTCTTCGGGATGAGATTCCCACCACCGAGTATCTCATTTCCGAGACTGACCGCGTGATTAATGACATTTTTGATGCTCTCGAGATTATCGGCAACAACAACTCTGATCTCAACCACATGTTTATCAACTTTACGCCCGTCTTTTCGCTGCAGCCCTCCGAGGTTGAGCACTCGCTGCAGGGCTTCCTGGACCGCTTTGGACCCCGCGGCTGGCGTCTGCGTGTTGCCCAGGTCGAGATTCGTATTATTTGCACGGATCCCGCCACTGGACTGCCCTACCCTCTCCGCATCATTGTGACCAACACGTCTGGTTACGTGATCCAGGTTGAGATTTACGCCGAGCGCAAGTCGGAAAAGGGCGAAATGATTTTCCACTCGATTGGCGGTACCACCAAGATTGGTGCCATGCACTTGCTGCCCATCACCACGCCCTACCCGACCAAGAATGCTCTCCAGCCCAAGCGATACAAGGCTCACTTGATGGGAACCCAGTACGTGTACGATTTCCCCGAGCTCTTCCGTCAAGCCATCCAGAACAGCTGGGTCAGAGCCGTCAAGGCTCAGCCGGCTCTGGCCGAGAAGCAGCCTGCCCAGGGTGAGTGCATTGACTTTATGGAGTTGGTGCTCGACGACTCGGACAAGCTCGCCGAGGTTGCCCGTGAGCCTGGCACCAACACCTGCGGCATGGTCGGTTGGATGATCAATGCCCGTACTCCCGAGTACCCCCGTGGTCGCAAGTTCATCATTGTTGCCAACGACATTACCTACAAGATTGGTTCCTTTGGTCCCAAGGAGGACCACTTTTTCAACAAGTGTACCGAGCTTGCCCGTGCCCTCGGCATTCCTCGCATCTACTTGTCTGCCAACTCTGGTGCCCGTCTCGGCATAGCTGATGAGCTCATTCCTCACTTCAAGGTTGCCTGGAACGACCCCAAGAGACAAGAGGCTGGTTTCAAGTACCTGTACCTTGACGAGGAGGCCAAGAAGAGGTTTGAAGATGGTCCCACTCGTGATGTCATAACCGAGGAGATTGTCGAGGATGGTGAGAAGCGACACAAGCTTACCGCCATTATCGGTGCCGAGGATGGTCTTGGTGTCGAGTGTCTGCGCGGCTCTGGTCTCATTGCCGGTGCGACTAGCCGCGCCTACAATGACATTTTCACCGTCACTCTCGTCACCTGCCGATCCATTGGTAAGTCGAATAAGATATTTTTGCATGCTCAAAACTAACAGTGTCTAGGTATTGGTGCTTACCTGGTCCGTCTTGGTCAGCGTGCTGTCCAGATTGAGGGTCAACCCATCATCCTTACCGGTGCTGGAGCTCTCAACAACCTGCTGGGTCGCGAAGTGTACACTTCCAACCTGCAGCTTGGTGGTACCCAGATCATGTACAGAAACGGTGTTTCGCACATGACTGCCAATGACGACTTTGCTGGTGTTTCCAAGATTGTCGACTGGTTGTCGTTTGTGCCTGCCTCGCGTAACCTGCCTGTGCCCATTACTCCCAGCGTCGACTCGTGGGACCGTGAATGCATCTTTACTCCCCCAGGCAAGGCTCCTTATGACGTGAGATGGCTCATTGGCGGCAAGCAGGATGACGAGGGCTTCCAGCCTGGTCTGTTTGACAAGGACTCGTTTGTCGAGACCCTTGGCGGCTGGGCCCGTACCGTCGTGGTTGGTCGTGCTCGTCTTGGTGGTATCCCCATGGGTGTCATTGCTGTCGAGACCCGCACCGTTGAGAACATTACTCCTGCCGACCCTGCCAACCCCGACTCTGTGGAGCAGGTTGCCCAGGAAGCTGGTGGTGTCTGGTACCCCAACTCGGCCTTCAAGACTGCTCAGGCCATCAACGACTTTAACAATGGTGAGCAGCTGCCTCTCATGATTCTTGCCAACTGGAGAGGTTTCTCTGGTGGTCAGCGTGACATGTACAACGAGGTGCTCAAGTACGGTTCGTACATTGTCGACGCCCTCGTCAAGTACGAGCAGCCCATCTTTGTCTACATTCCTCCGTTTGGTGAGCTTCGTGGTGGATCTTGGGTCGTCGTCGACCCTACCATCAACCCCACGGCCATGGAAATGTACGCCGACGTCGAGTCTCGCGCTGGTGTCCTCGAGCCCGAGGGTATCATTGGTATCAAGTACCGCAAGGAGAAGCAGCTCGACACCATGGCCCGCATGGACCCGACCTACGGCGCCCTTCGCAAGCAGGCCGCCGATGCCAGCCTCTCCAAGGAGCAGCTTGAAGAGGTCAAGAGCAAGATGAGCGTCCGCGAGAAGCAGCTCCTGCCCATCTATGCCCAGATTAGCATCCAGTTTGCCGACTTGCACGACCGTGCTGGTCGCATGAAGGCCAAGGGTACCATTCGACAGGAGATTGAGTGGAAGAATGCTCGTCGCTTCTTCTACTGGCGTGTGCGCAGAAGACTCAACGAGGAGTACATTCTCAAGCGCATGATTGCTGCCGTCACCTCGCACAAGCCCAAGCTGGCTCACGACTCGGCAGCTTCCAGCAAGGAGCGCAGCAGACACATGGAGCTGCTCGCCGCCTGGACCGGCATTGCCGACTACGAGACCAACGACAAGGACGTTGCCACTTGGTTCGAAAAGGAGGCCGAGACCATTACCACCAAGGTCAAGCAGCTCAAGAGCGATGCCTCTGCTACCGAGCTGGCTGAACTGTTCCGTGGTGACAAGACTACCGCTCTCAAGGGACTCAAGGAGATTCTGCACACCATGCCAGTAGCCGAGCGTGAAGAGATTCTCAAGTACCTCAAATAGGGGCTTGTAGAGACAAGTTTGCATTAAAGGGGGGATTGGAATTATGATGTATCCGTGTACATGACATGCATATAAGGGATTGGCGAATGGCTGGTATTTGCATTTGGCGTTTCGGTTGATCTTACAAGAGTGTTACATAGACGTCTCATTGAATGTATTCATTTCTATCCGTATTTTGGACTCGGAGTGATTGTGACTGAGGAAGTTGAATCGTCTGTTTCACTGTATCAAGACTTGTCCACACTAACTCGTCGAATGCCAGTTATAATGACCAAGAGCAAAGAATTTCAACACACATGACAAGGTGCTCCAAGCGCATCCTCACCATCTGCCTCAAAGTGTCGCTGGAACACATTTTCTGCCCGACTTGGCACGAGGACCCAAGCAAAAGCCCGAACAGCAATCTCGGTCATCCCAGCATTTACCACCTGTAGGGCTACATTTTACGGGCTGTTATAAATGGAAAAACAAGACAAGTCAGCTTTGGACTGGCCAAATGGATGGGCGGGCAAAACTTGCATTCAAAGTCAACATGGCGTCAGCAGCCACGTCTGGAGGGGCATTGTCTTGGACATGTGGCACAACGTGACCCAGCACGAGCGAGACGCCAACGGCGAGGAAAGTGGCGAGGTTGATGAGCTGCATCTTGGCCTTGTCGTCAAGTGTTGGTGATGCAAGAAGCTTGGTCGAGAAGAGATGCCCGTCTGGTGTACAAGTGAACGAGGTTGGATGCGTGAATGGGCCCGAAAACCGAGTAAGAATAAGTAAAGAGTGTGGTGTTGAGAAGAAGATATTTGGGTCCATTTTAGATCAAAACAATCTCATATAGGCAAAGGTAGAAATAGGAAGGTTCCATGTGTCTGTTGATCTTGCCATGTTTATTCTGCCGTCATGATGCTTTAGGAAGTAACCATCTGTTACCACGAGATTCAGATGATGGGCCACTTTCCAATTTTGCAGAAATGTTAATGATGACCGAGTATATTGGCAAGTCCAAGTTTTGCCAATGTTTACGAGACTGGATAGGTAGGTACTTGGTCACACTTTTGTTGTAGCTAGTATACAGTCCCAAAACAAGTCACACCACTTTCACTGGCGCCGTGTTCCAGTTCTTAACTACTCTGTAACCTCGGAAACACGAATAATCTTGTCGGCCAGCTCTTCCGGCCGACTAGCAAAAGGATTATGGCCCGCCTCGATACTCTCGACCCGAATGCCAGGCACCGACGCGGCGGCCAGTATGGCTCGCTGGCCCGCTGCCGGAAACACGGCGTCCTGCTCCGTGACGATATAGGTCATGGGAATAGTCACGTCGGCGGCAATGTAGTCGACGGGCGTCTCAAAGGCATCTTGCGACTGGGGTTGGAAAAGTTGATAATACTTTTCCGACTCTTTGTCTGGCAGGTCGCTGTAGAGACCCTTTTCGGCGCCCTTGGGTAGTTTCATGAGATTGTTCTGGAAAGTCGTGTCAGAGACTTTGAAAAGGAGATTTGCAAAAGAAAGAAAGAA